AATCGCGCGTGCGCGTGCTCATCTTTTGACTTAGTGACATACACTGTGATAATTTCATTATGCCTCGGTATACGAACCAAGAATACCTATTTAGAGATGGTGTACTGCTATCGCGAGTGTGACGAAGTAGGTTTGGTTTACGAATGAGTCCCCAAACCATAGAAGTTGCATTTTGTGCAGTGAGTAGTGATAGGGACACTTTAAAAAAGGTGAAAAGACACGTCCGCAAACATGCCTACCTTTGTTTGCAGCAAAATGGTGGTTTAGAGCAACAATTTTGCAGATAATAATTTAAGTCTCTTTTTATTGCTAGTGTAAATACTTTTTGATTAGAAACAACTAATTGTGTACTACCAGTGTGATTGATTTGATAAAAAGTTCTAGTGAAAAAAATGAATATGTTCCTCGTTCCTCGTTGTACCTATCTACATCGCCGGTCTCGTAAGTACTTTTGAATACCTGGTTATAAATTTCATTCTGACCCAAGTATTAAGCAATAAGTATTTCTTTTTGTTTAACATTTGCCTATTTCCAATCGTGACAAAATTATTATTAACTTTTAAAGTTTTTCTCTGCTTAAGAGAAGATGACATTTGTGCTTATTATTTCAATTTCAATAAAGGCATCTAAGACGATTTTATTGTATTGTGTGGAATCAAACGAGTCAGTTGAGCTCTGTGTAGAGTTAGGTACTTACTCACTTAACGGCTGGCGGGCGCGGTCGATCGTTGACCCGCGGTGGAATTTCAATGTTTTTCCGTTTTTTAGAAGTGCTTATTTATTAGTTGTTTTTCACTGGATATGTAAGTTTGTTTGTTTAAAATGAATAACTACTCAAAACGAGGAAAGGACATAAAAATACACAAATAATAAATAAATACATGAAAAAAATATACTTCAAAAAAATCCGAAAAAAGACAGGCATACTCTATACACATAACCCAACAATCTCACGAAGTTTCATAGAAACATTCAATTTCACCCTATATAATAGTGTTTCATATTTAATTAATATCCCATTAATAATGTTGGTCAGTACCTACGCCTACCTATTTTTTCCGTCACTACTCTACGGGACCGGTATACTTCTTTAGCTCCGTTCCGCGTATTTTATATTTTGATATAAAAATACTGTTGAAAATAATTTTATAATTCGTTTTTTTTATTACTTGGTATGACATAACCTCACAAACTTTAAAGTAGAATATCTATAAATCCAAACTTCCTATAATAAAAAAAAGAAATAAGACGAATTAAATCGAGAATCTAGATTTTTATTTAACATGCAATTCATTTATAGACGCAAAAAAATTTTTCAACAAAAATTTGTATGGGAGTTCGCCATTGTCTTTTAACATTTTCATGATAAAAATTACTAGAATACTAGTCATTTTTAATTAAATAGAATGAAATGGTATTTCTAGTTTTTCCTAGGCTAAACCAGTTCATCCTTTAAGCGATAGGATAAACGGGTACAGACTAGGCCAAAGTGGTTCGTCCTATGGCCAATAGGACAAACTAGTTTAACCTGGGCTTAACTTATTGAACTTAATTGAATAAATACACTTCAGGATAAACTGGATGGAAACTAGCAGAACTATTATAATCACAATGCATTTATTAATTAAATCAAAATATAGTTTTTTTATTTTGCATCATCATCATTTCGGATTGCAGAGAACCATTTTTTTGTTGCATTTGCACCTGCTTGTCAAACAGGTTTTAACGCAGCTGCACCTTAAAAAACCTTGGCCTGATTCAACTGAATGTTTTGAGATTGTTGTGCAGTCCTTATAGATATTCATTTACTTGGTTATCATAATCTTCCTTTAAAATTTTCTCATTTAGTCACGAAGAAATTGCTCGCTTTTATACACGAATAAATGAATATTTTTTTGATGTACCCACATAATTTGTTTTGCTAAATTCGTCGTTTAGTTTTTTACAAGCAAAGCAAATATCAATACAAGTAATTTCAAACTGTAATACCTTAACAACATAGTGTAATTGTCACAAATCGTACACGAGATCAACACTGGTGACCGCTCGGGCACACTCGGACTGTGCGCATCCACTCTCGCCATAGTTCGCTGTCATTGAGCTGCGTCTATACTAACAAAGCATGACAATAAATACATAGCAACAAACCACGTAGTTAGTATGAATATCTTACGCTAGCCAAATAAGATCAAAATGAATGCTGCAAGTGGACACAGCAGTTCCCAACCCGATTTATCAAAATTTGAGGTGCTGGATTTAGAATTCGGAAAGCCGCAAGATGTGGGGTATTGGTTTAATTAAAATGATATATCATTAATAAAGGAACAACTGCCTGAAATTAAAAACCACTACTGAACATTAAAGAAAATAGCATTTTAAAGACTCAAATCGCAAACTTTACTGATACAGTTGGTCATGTACAGGAACAAATAACAAAAAATTAACGAAGAAATACATATTTTTAAGAATACTAAAACTACAAATTCTTCAGCAGAGGTATCAACCGATGTTTCATATGAAGAACTTATTATTGAGATTCAAAAGCGCAAAATACGTAGTAAGAATATTGTAATAAAAAGGAATCCCGGAGCAATATTTAGAAAATTCAGAAGAAAAAAGAGAATACGGCCGACTTGAGGAGAATAAAGTCTTCTGAGAAATATATCCACAATATCATAAGCCAGAAAAAGTAATATGACTGGGTGAAAAAGGAAAGACAGGAATGCTAAAAGTAAAGTTCTCATCAGAAGAAATATCAAATACATATTAAAAAAAACAACAACACTGAATGACAAACAAATCAAAATTTACTCTGATTAAAGCAACAAATCACGTAAAGAAAAAGAAGAAGAAAATATAATTATTAAATATGTAAACGGAGCTCCTAAAATTATAAAACAAATGTCAAAAAACTAGAATTGAGAGAAATCAGCAACAAAACTTATATTACATTGTAGAAAAAAGCATTTAGATTCTTAAACGGAAAAGTTCGAAGTATCGTCAAGTCAGGTAAACTGGATGAACTTCTGGATGTATTAGGATACAATCTTTTGGAACAACAATACATGTTATTATCCTATCAGAAACCTGGATAAAAAATGAATACGAAGCAAAAAGATAAAAATTGCCTTATGATACCCATTACTACATTATATTACTAATTCTAGAGGCGGCGGTGTGTCTCTTTACGTCCATGATAATCTAAATCATGAACTCCTAGAGAAACACTTAGAAGATGGTAATCATTTTTTATGGGTACATGTGAAAAAACAGTCACTAAACATTGGAGCTATCTATCGACAACCAGCTGCAAACACCAATAAGTTGCTTGATACAATTTACAAATCCCAAATAAAAAGCGAGTAGTTGCTTTCGGAGATATTAATCTGAACCTACTTACAAATGAAATAAGTATCAAAGATTATAAAGATTACAAGGAAAATAATATATATTTTTATAAACAACATTAGTTTAAAACACTTTATACGTGTAACGAAGACTTCTCAGACAATAATAGATAGCGATGTTACCAACCTAAAAGATAACTCATGGCTGTAATCGAGTCTTCACTATCGGATCACAAGCAAATTTATTAATAAATATATAGAAAAAACAATAACCTTTCAAAAGAATACAATATGAAAAGCTAAACTACTCCAATTTCTATAAAACAGTTGAAGATACTAAGTCATGGGAAGATTATGACTATGATAAATTAGAAAAGATAATATTGGCAGCTATTGATGAAAATAAAGAAACAAAATACAAAATCCTCCAAAAAAGAATGGATAAATAAAGAAATAATTGCAACCATAAATGAAAAGAATGACCTGTGGAACAATTTAAAACAGATGCCTACTGACCAAAATCTACGCAAGGACAAATAGTCAGTACGTGCATACAATCTACGGAGAACAAATATTATTATAAGGCTTCAGCTTGTCAGACGGATTCTAAAAAAATGTGGAATCTTACTAATAATTTGCACAAAAGTAAAGAGATATGTATACAAGGTTCCAAAAAGATTCTAATGCCATCGAAATCCGATGTAGTTACAGATAAAAATGAAATATGTGAACATCTTAAGTCCTTTTTCTCTACTACAGGCTTAAATTTAACAAAAATTATACCACACACACTAAGAATTAATTAAAATAATACAAGTACTCTAACTCGTTGGAAACAACTTTGACAACAGAGGTTTTTACAAAATATTTATAATTTAGACTTTAGTGCTATAAGTACCAAAGCTATAAAAACGCGTCAATAACATAATTGCAAACAGCTTGACACAATGTAATTCAATGTATTAATAAGTGTTTAGATAACGTTTACTTCCCGGATTCGTTAAAAATCGCTAAAGTTAGCTATATATAAAGCAGGAAATAAATCTGACCCCAACAATTACACGCCTATATCGATGTTACCTGTGCTTTTGAAAGTTTTTGAAAAAATAGTACATGAACTGTCTGCTTACATATGTTGAGTCGATAAATTTCTTCTTTCAAAAATAATATGGATTTAGGCAAAAATAAAAAAGGATATTGACAAAAAAATATTACTTTCGGCATATTTAGTAATTTGCAGAAAGCTTTTGATACGGTTAGCCATAAACTACTATTATCAAAATTAGATGACATCGGCATCGAGATTTGGCTCTTAAAATTTTAAAGTCTTACCTAAACGATAGACGTTAAATTGTTAAGATTGGGAATGAGCATAGATACGCCAAAACTATTGCTTGTGTTGTACCACAGTGGTCTATTTTAGGTCCCTTTTGTTTCTCATTTATATTAATAATATTAAGCAAAAAGGTCTTCAAGGTGATATCTTTTTATATGCGCATGACACTAGTGTCATGAGACTAAAAAGTAAAAAAGACTAGTCTTTTTTAAATAAAACTAGTTTTTACGGGTTTAGTAGTTTAGTGTTTACGGGTTAATGCACGAAATTTTATTTATTTATTGACGTTTCATAGCCTGTAAAGCCTGTAAAGGCTACGAAACGTCAATAAATAAATAAAATTTCGTGCATTAACCCGTAAAAACTAGTTTTATTTAATGAGTGATGTGCGTGAAAACCTAAGAAACAAATAGTCTTTTTTACTTTGGTCATTCCGTCGAAACATTTATAAATCACTCACAAAATGATTTGAACATCCTGCATACTTGGTTACAGTCAAATTTATTAACTATAAAAGTACTAAAAACGAAATATATTATTTTCGCTCCTAAAAGAACAAAAATATTACTAACCACTCCCAACTTAAAATCAAGTAAATTCAGAGAAATATCTTGGCCTTGTTCTCGATACTCAATTTACATGAAAATCACATGTAGACTCGATAGCTAACATCCTTGGCTGGGGCCCTAAGCTGGTTGTCTTCCTAAAAATGATAAATATCTCATCTGTAACTCCTTAGTTAAAGCTAATTTAGAATATATAATTGAAGTTTGGGGATCCGCAGCAAGATCACATCTTAAAGGGTTACAAATAAAATAAACTATTAAAATCTTCTTTAAGTATCTACTATCTACTACCGAACCTACCTACTACACCTACTGAAACAATCTATATAAAAACTATATAAATATAATATTTGCATTCATATTACAAAAAATAATGACAAAAGATATACGAAGTCAAATCACATCAATCGCTTGAAGCGAGACCAATCATTTATGTTACTTTTATAGTGATACTCATAAAAGTAACATAAAACATTCAGTAATAACATACTATAAGTTTCCTTTATTACTAAGACGAACTTAACCTAGTATTTACAAATTATTAAAACATATATACATACATATAATAATATACGTATTTTTGATCTGTGTTTTCTACTTAAATGATTCGTATTTTTTGTTATACATATTATTTCTAAGTAAGAATGTTCGCACCGCAATATCCTGCACTGTGTTGTTGCCTTTATGTATCTCCGCTGTTCGCACGCGCAGAGACTGTGATTGTTTTCTTTTGGTTGTTAATTTAATCTACCTACCTTTTCAAATTGTTAGTTGACACGACGTAATATTTTTTTTGTCTGTGTTTTTTGTCTGTAAGTGGATTTTTTGTAAATTCTTTTGAGAAAATAAATGTCTTCAACCGTAAATTACTTCAATATTTTTATTCATTTCATTAATGTCAAAGATTGTACTCGTAGGTACTTTATTTTTTAAAGTCGTTTTTTTACTCTCAGAAAGTACTACCTGGTGAAGTGGATAATGAAGAGCACAGCTTCGTATAAAATATACCTAGTTAAGTAATACTAACGTACCTTTCCTCAATTTTTATCGTTCTTTTAGAAGCAATTATAAAGTAAACTGTGATAAATATAATAATTATACGTAAGTACTACATTTAAGGTTCGATTAAAACCAAAAGGACATTAATGTCTTGACTACTACCAGGTACTGCCTTTATTTACATTTCAGAAGGCGCTTTAAATTAAAATACTTCCGCAATTTTATTTATTTTTCCTCAATGATATTTATATAATATCATTGTTTTTCCTCAAACAAATGAGTTATTTACTCGGTCTCGCAATGATATATTATTTCTCGCATGAAAAACGTAAGCATTTTTTATTTTTAATACAGTCCTAGACTCCATTAAAGTTTTTGCATACCTACCTTGATTGGACCTAATGACAAAATTAGTTTAGCACACTTTGTATCGGGGGGCACGGCAGTGCCCCCTCCAAGTCGAGCGCGAAGTAAACACTGCTGTACCATCCTTTACTGGAACCATTTCGCCGCATTTTCAGGCCCCTATTTGAGAACCTCTGGATAAGACCAGAACGTAGAAATTTTCGTAATTCAGTAAGCTATAATCACATACTTAAAATCCAAAATTTCATGTCTGTAGGTTATTTAGTTCCCAAGTTAAGAGAAAGCAAAGTTTCGCATTTATGACACTCACTCACTCACTCATGATCATCAGAATAGAACTAGTACTTCCCATAAACTCAGAGAGCTGAAATTTGGTACAGAGTTAGGGTTTAATGGCCACATAAAGGGAAAACTATAAAAACTGGGATGAAAAAATGACTTGTTTTTTTTTAGTTTTTAAGAAGTAGGTAATATTTTATTAGCAGTCGGGTTTTTTGATTTTTAAATTTATCATTTTTATTTCACACTTTTTAGTATTATAAGGTGGCATATGCCGTAGTCTTGTCATTTAAGTAAGGGAATTAATATCGCGGGAATTATTAAGTACCTTGCGATGGTTTTAGACCGATTGATTTATTAAAACATAGAGGCCTTACCAGCAGGGTCAGGGCCTCAATTTTCGCAAAAATGTGTGAAGTTACTCGTAAATCAAGTCGTTACTTCTATATCTAATGCCTGTAATTTTTTTAATAAATTAACTATAACGTTTTCAAAAAGTGATCATTAACTTGTTCTTTTTAGTAGTTTAGAAGAAAATATAAAATTCATTTACTTTTATTCGTCGACTATCTAAAATTGGCAGTGGCTGCATTATCATATCAACGACCGGCTCTAAGATTATGATATACAAAAATACAGTGTTATATCCTAGTCTCTTAATATGATATACCCACATAATTCACAGAAACCAAATATGTAGACGCCAGAGGTTAACTTCAAATGTTGTTAATCACCCTTTAAACAATACCAATAAATAACGTTAATGTCGGAGGTTGACGAAAGGAATTACTGACACGATCATTAAATGGCTAAATGAAAATAATCTTAAAATCAATATTAATAAATCCTATTATATCCAATTTAATAAATCTAAACATAAAAAATATAATTTTACATTAGACGTAGCAAAAGTCAAAGAAGTAGAAAGTTTAAAATTCCTAGGTGTAAACATTGACAAAGTACAAACTGGAAAACCCATATAGATATGTTAAGTTATAAAATAAATAAATTTGTGTACGCTCTGAAAAGCATAAAAAACTTAACCAATAAAAAAACCGCTGTTATGTGTTATCGTGCCTACATAGGATCCATCCTTCGGTACGGAATTATACTCTGGGGCAATAGCACGGATAGGAATATAACCTTTATTGCACAAAAGAAGTGCTTTAGGGCAATATGTGGAATCCCGCCGGACCAATGGCGTAGACCATTATTTGAAAGTCTTGGATTGTTGCCGCTGCCATCGCTGTACATATATGAATTAGCAGTGTTTGTCCAAGGGCACAAGCAGTTGTTCAAGAGGGTCAATAATTTCCGGCTTAGAGACCCTTACAGAATGATATTTAATGAGGTCCCAAAGTCTGACAAATATAGGAAAAGTTGCTTGTGCCTTTGTGTCGAGATCTATAATAAAATACCACCCGACATGAAAATGCTAAATATGAACATATTTAAAAATAAACTATATAAATGGCTAAATGAAAACAATATTTATGATCTCAAAAGTTTTTTCAATTATAAAAATTAATGATAACTTATCCTATAATAACTATGATAAATGTATCTTTTTCATATTTTTTTTATATCTGACATTTAGAAATTTTGTAATATTAATACGTTGATATTGTATATTTTATTGACATAATATTAGGTAACTCTGACATTCATAATTCTACAGGAAAATGTTATAATTAAATAATCTCTTTTTTATTGGTTCCATTTATGTATTTGCATGCTATTTTTAAAATGGCAAAACACGTGCTCAATTCACTTTATGTAATACCTATATACCGTGTTTTTAGCAAATAAAGATTATGATTATGATTCGAAGGCGGATAGGCTAAAAATCATTGAAACACTTTTAAAGCATTAAAAAATATTTTATCTACTTTTTATCATTGTTATGGTAAATTAAACTTAAAAATGTAATTTCAAATTAAATTTAATGGAAATTCCTGTAAAATTACTTTAGCATGTGGAATTTTATAATAATTTTGGTTTCACCACTAAGATTTAAAATGTGAACAAAATTTTATTTAACCCTACGAATTAATTCAGTTTATGAAAAACAATAAACTACCATAAGTAACTAAACTTTAACTTTCTTTAACTAAAATTTTAACTAAAATCGTTAAGAAAAGCGATTACAAAGTTACTCTAAAAAATAATGATACCATAGTATAGACTTCTGGGTCTCAAAAAAACCGCTTATTCACTAGATACACTTTTAATATTTTGTAGTTTATTACAAAATTATGAAATTTACACATGCTATTACCAAAATATAAATGGAATAAATAGGTTTCAAAAATTGTATGCAGTGATTACCACAGCTCCTTAGCGGACCCGAAATACCTTGCTACATTTTCCATACATCCTGAAAAGGTTGCGAAGCTTCAAAAGTACAGTGAAAAAGTGTTAAAAATACATTTATACTCGTTCAAAACTTGTTTTATTTAATGAGTGTTGTGCGTGAAAACTTAGAAACAAATATATTTTGTTTTGTTTTTTGTTTCAGGTCTGTCAACCATCCTGCTCAAATAAATCTCATACATCCGTATATACTTAGACTGACCTTGAAATGGTTAGCTGTTATTATTATAATACTAGCAAACCACTGAACCAAATGTTCACCAAAACCTGATTTAAAAAAAAATGTATTTAATTAATTGAGAACTTCGGAGATTTTGTGTGGTTTCGTTTGAAATTCGTGATTTCTTGAAAACCGGAAGTGCTACGTTACTCAAATCCGGTTTGTAGTCTTCTCAGACTATTCTTAACTTATAACTTAAATATTCTCTTTATCTATCTCTTACGGTTTGGCCGCTGAAACAGCACCACAGACAGACGGACGGACGGACTTGTCTAATAGATAAGAGATACACACAAAAACTACCTCACGAGCGATAAAACCGCCTGGCCTTAATTATTGCCTGTAGCAAATTTTTGAAGTTATCATATAAAACTTGTCTCCTCAAAAGCTCATATATTTTAAAAATTGTTTATGGAAAACTGGATATTTCGTGGCTTTTGTATATTTATTGTTTCCTATTTTATATTATGTTATGGAAGTTGACCTCAATAAGTGTGTATGATTTTGATGACAGCTTTCAATTTAACGACACTGTATAAAATAAGACAGGGAGAAAAAAGCAGCCTATGTTTCTTGCCGGTTCTTCTCAGTATACAAGGTTTCCTGCCGTAGATTTGAGAACCGACGGCGTAGCTTTCGACTTTCATATGTGCTTGTAGAAGCCTAAACGGATTATATGAATCTTGAATTTTAACACCTAAAATAAATCTTTATAATTAACACTTGAATTTTATTTTCAATAATATATCATCGACATGCCCTTGAGTTACTTTAAGTTTGATATTGTAATAATGGTTTATAAAAGTTAATAAACACCAGCCTTTATCATAATGTGCACATGCAGACGAATAACGAAAAGGTTTGTGAAATTTGCTAAGCTATTTCTTATTGCTGTCCTTGTATTTAATAACAGTGGTAAATTTGATTTACGTTGAATAAAATATCTGATTGTTTAAAAAATAAAATAGATTCTTCTCTGCCTTCAACCCTTTTCTCCAGTATATTCATGTGACCCTATAAGCTTTGACCACAACAAAGAAAAACATAACATCGATAAAAAGTATCGACTAAAGACATCCTACGTCCGCCATGTTTGCTCCCCGATTTGTTTTATAGGTAAAAACGCGAAGTACATGCTTGTGTATTGTGGCTTGAAAAGTACGATTTGCAAAAAAATCTTGGAACCCTTTTTAGCACTCAGCTAATCTATTTATAAAACTCAAAGGTGACTGACTGACATAGTGATCTATCAATGCACAACCAAAATCACTGGACGGATCGGGCTGAAATTTGACATGCAGGTAGATGTTATGACTAGGGTTGCAACGATATATCGGAATATCGATAATATCGAGACCAAAATATCGATATTTAAAATTCACTGATATCGATAATATCGATATCAGAAATTCCAAAATATCGATATTTCGTAGACTAAATTTGAACACAATAGTACCTGCTATGACTATCTAAATTGAATAATATCGAAATAACTATTGCTTTGAAATCTCAAGAGCTTATAGATGTATTAAAAAAATCTTGAACCCCAAGAAATATACTAAACTGGTGTGGATTCTGGCATGATTCTCTAAACCTAAAATTAAATTTGACAACAGTGTATCCTTGTCATTCTCTATACAGAATGAAAAGGAGAGACTGATGTTGAATTTAGTTTTAAGTTTAGATAATCATGCCAGAATCGACACCAACGTATGTAGTTATAATCGTATACCTAATGGTAACTCATGCACTTAAATAAAATCCTTGCCTCTCTTTCTAGATAATTGTCAACTACTGATTAATTGAAATTTAATATCAGTGTAATAAAACACAAAATAAAATTAAGAATCGTATAAAAAGCGTAAATTTTTTAAGCTCGCCAAGTCAAGAAAGTAAGATAGGTATAGTAATTTTGGAAGCTTTGGGCTTACCCGATTCTGAAGCCATGGGCACGTCCCACATATGCGGGTTGGCGCATTTGTGCTAACGAATGTGAGTAATCTGATCAGGATAATAATTTTAATTTTTTGGTTTCCTGTCGTGGCTGAAACACAAACCGTGCGAGCCAATAAAAAAAATCCTGCTTGGCACGATTTCATCAAACGTGTTTAACGAAAAAGCTGCTTCAATGCATTTTGCGAGAAACTCGCCAACAAACATATGAATGTGTCACACTCACCCCGTATTCTAATGTCAATAAAACAAACCAAAAGAAAAAAAATCGATATATCGATATTATCGAGTTAAAATGGTCGATATATCGGTTATCGATGTTTTCCTGACTTCGATATAAATATCGATATTTCAAAAGACTTTGCATCCCTAGTTATGACGTAGGCATCCGCTAAGAAAGGATTTTGATCAATTCTACCCCCAAGGGGATAAAATAGGGAATGAAAGTTTGTATGAAACTTTGTCAATTTTAAACCGATCGGGCTGAGACTGTCATTGTGTATAATACAAGCCTGAGAACAAAAACTGTAGTCCACACTTCAGCTCTACACCAAAGCAAAGCGAGGGCGGGCCGCTAGTTGTAGAATAAAAACTAAACACTTGTAAAGAAACAATAATAAATATTGATAATTAATATTGTTTGATATTTTTTTCATATATTGAGCTATGGGTATGGCTGGTTGATAACCTAAACAGTGTTTCCACTTTAAAGATTTCCTTTCCCCATGCCTCAATTCAGATTTCCCCTTCTTAGGACAATTTTCCCCTCAAAAATTATTCTGCTGTAGTTTTTAGATTTGGCACTAGTGTAGTAACTAAAAAAAGGTCTTATACTATCTTATTCTATAACAGATAAATAAAATATATAAAATCTGCACGTGTTGCCACAGTTTCTTTTATACGGCAACACTCTAGTCCACGTTATAGTCCATAAAAAAATTGTTCCGTGCCATATTATTTTAGGCTATGCTTTACTCATAATTTCCCGCAATTCCTTTTCATGTCTTTCCCCTTTTTCTTCCCCTCTGGACCCTAATTTCCCCTTAAAAGGGGAATTTCCCCTCATTGTGGAAACACTGAACCTAAATCGTCAACCAAATGTCAAGTTTAAGTTTATTTTTTAATGTTTCAACACTTTAAGTTGCGTTCATAAACTCGATTTAAAACTTTCGTTTACACAAAGGATGCATGTTCGTATATTGTGGCGTACTCCGGCGGTAATACAGAGATGAGCAGAATTGAACAGCTAGATTCTGATTAATGCTTTTTCTCAGTCTTAATATTTTCTTTTTTATAAAAAAACGTTTTTATTCAAATGTAGAAAATTGCCCCTGCTTTCCAACACATATCACAATTAAGGAGGTAATTAATAAGGTCATCCCCACTTTTACACTTTAGACTGCCCTTGCGGCAGGATGTGCGTAGACGGTCTTAGAAAATAGAACCGTTTTTGGAGGAGCAGCTGAAACGCTGGCGCCCCATTTGAGCCAGTGCCACAGAATTGAACGCAGTCGGGTAAAAATAATAATCCTTCATTCACTAACTCTAGGTATGAGCTTGTGTTATTAATTAAAAATATTGACAGTTCAGGTCATCATTTGTGACGTTCTGTAAGTATCTATAAATAGAGCTGTGGTTATAGTCCACATCTACATTAATTAAGAAGTACACTACCTAATGAATTTAATTATATAATTAAATTTTATTATTTTGAAAGAACGACATCGTTGTAACAGTGCCACAGAACCATATCAGAGTTTTGAACTGGTAACAGCTTTCAGAATCAAGTTATTATTTCGTTACGATCTCCTTGGCCGAGTGGTAGGTACGCCGGGTTTCAAGTTGTCTTACTCGCGAGGTCCAGGTGGCACAAATTTTAGTACGATTAATATGAGCATTTGTACCTAAGACATGGATGTTTATATGTATTTCTAGATAAAATATACTTATATATGTAGCAGTATATGTATACTATCCGTTACACTAGTATCCCCTAACACAAGCCTTTAAGTGCTTACTTTGGGGCTAGGCTAATTAGTGTGTGTTAGAAATACTTCTTATTTATTTTATACGTAAGCAAATAGAAGAAGTTATCATTTTAAAGACCAATCGTAGCGAGATTCTGCGCCGAAGGGCCAAACTCCATCTATATAGGTACCTAGTTTTTATTATCTCCGACCGATCGAAATCAACAAGAAAAATTGGTGTTGATTTGCAGATTTCCAGATGATTTATAATCTAAGTAAATGTGTCTGGCAATGGAAGTAAAAAAAAGAAAAATAAACTATAAAAATATATATACATATATATTTCGTGTAGTTATCACAACAAATTTATTTACATTTAAAGATAAGAATATAACTATATTTAAATAGTTTCTGTGCTAGGTTTTTAACGCTAGGTAATACATATACACATATAGTTTGTCATTGGTCCACTTGCAGTGTATATAATTTAAATTTTAGTGTTAATAAAGTTAATTAAAGAATGCCATTGGTAAAAATAGCTGCACTTTTATTTACCTCTACAAAAAATATACTGTTTTCTATTACTCACTCACTCACATAGTAGGTACCTATGGATTTCAATATTATGTGAGTGAAGGGTAAATAGACTTTTTTTCAATTCTATTCTTTGATTGCGCGAATGTACGTACGTTATAGTTCTTAAACCTTTGTTACCTTAAAGGTACAAGTCCGAACTGAACCGCAGACCACAGGCCGCAGCTGCAGACTGCAGGCGACACTACTAGTTTCTATGAATCTCTATGAAATTGATTCCGAGCGCAGCGAGATGCCGCGGCTGCACAATGCACGGTCAGCCGCAGTCGTTAGCCGCAGTCTCGCTTGCGGTTGTCGCCTGCAGCCCATTACGGAATTGTACCTTTATGAAGCTTGCCCTATAAGATATGAAATTGATAAATACAAGGCATATTTTCAACTTCGACTTCCTAACTTTTTTGAAATTTCATATATCAGCCCACATTGCTCACAATAACATGTACACACTAACATAGGTTTCATTTAACAATAAACAATAAATAAATTAAAACGGTAACAAAATAAAAAGGTTTACGAAGAATAACGGCTAGTAAATAACATTGTTATTACAGAACTCGATTCAAATTATATTCACTGTTATCGGACAGGATAAAATATCGTCGGATATGAAAGATTATTTACTACCTATTCGACATTTGCAAGGAGTGAAGGCAATATTTATTTGCCCGGTGACTAATTGCATCATATTAACGTTGAAACTCACTTGTCTAGACTTACGCGGACATCTAGATTAATTAATTCAAGACGCCTTTCTTTCGCTTTTCTAATTCGTATACGCTCACTAAACTTTCACATTCTTATTAATTATTACAATTACTAAACTAAGGCTCACTTGCACCAAAGTTCTCAAATCAAATTTAAAAGCTTTTGAGCCCTATTCTGTCTCTTTTTTATTTTAATCAATTTACAAAGCTGGAATGATGTTTTTATACAGGTTTAAACCTTAATTTGAATTAAGAATGTGGATGCAAGCGGCCTTACATAATCAAAATCACACATCAAATCCTAATTAATAATATCGTGGTTTGCATGGTATTACTTTAACTAATAAATTACTTGTACATATTATATTTTTATCATTAATGTTCATGAGATTGCTAACATATTCATAAATAAAATAAAAGTCTTATCGGTAGAACTAAGCTAATCAGAAATCCTAAATATTGGGTTCGTCTGATAGATAATAATTGTATGCCATTATTTCATCACATCTGTTATAATTTCACTTAAACTAAATTGTAATTATTTGCTTTTAAATATTAAATAATTATTTTAATCAAACATATGCTATTAATTACAATAAAATAACCCTTTGTTCTATAATCTGAGAAAATAACAATAGAATATTGTGTAGGCACATTTATTGAGAATTAAAAATTAAATGAAAACAAAAGATGTAAATATAGCTCAGGCAGATTAGTGATGATGGACCTTTATAAAATCGTTATCCAAGATTCTACCCTGGAGCAAATGCAGCAGATTAATAAACACCAATTTTAGATCTAAACAAATTTCGATTAAAGAATGTTAAGTAAATATCACGTCTCCACATAATAAGTATCTTTTTCGACAATTAATATTTGGCATTTACCGGTAAGTTCCACTGTTTCCGGTGATTTGTCATCTTTGTCTCTTTTAATGTGTGCTTGCGGACCAATTAATGATAATACTACCGGCAAAAACATTAAACCATTAAAAAGCCCAAAAATTATGACTAGAAGAAAAATTTTAAAGAAAGATTTGAATGTGTATGCTTGTGACATACTAAGAAGAGATAACGACAAAAATGTCGATCCGCCACCTAACAATACTGCACCACCAATCGATGTAACTGTCTTAAATGCTCTTTCAGTACGATACCCACCAGATGTGGTCAAAAATGTGTGTCCGATATGTGCGGCATAATCAACACATAAACCTATAGCCAACTCAAGGCCGATACAACAAACGATGTCGACTGTCATGCCCCATCTTTGCATCCAACCAAGCACATTTAGAATAGTTAACAGCACACATATAAATATCCACAGACACATTTGTAAATTTGTTATCAATATTGTTGTGCAAATCATTACACACAATAACGCCAATTCTATATTCCTTTCAACTTCAACTGCTATTATCTCATCGGTAACCCAATTTGCAAATGCTTTAGACCATACACTACGATAACCATCGTCAGTTTCAAAAGATGTGGATTTTATCAAATTCTTTACTTGATTCATGGCTGGAATATACTCTACTGGACCTTCAAATCGATTAAACTTAAAAGGCACAGATGTTGCAGTTATATTTGTAGCAGGAAAACCACACTGTATCGGAGATGAAAATTTAAAATTTATCTGGAATCTACCACCAATAGGACTGAACAGAAATCTCGTCAAATATGTATTAAATTCATTTTCTGTGACTAAAGAGATATTTTTCAAATCACGATTATAATTTTTTGAGACGTACTTGACAAATGGTTGTATCCAATCTGAAACGCCAGCAACATAGGTCTGGTTACTTAGTTCTTGGGTTAGGTTAAATAATTTATTGAATTCATGATGATAATTCATTTTTCCTAGAAACACCATCGCAGTATGTCCTTGTTCGGGATAATAATATTCATGGGTATCCAAAAACTCTTTATAATAAGTGTCTTCTGGTATGAACCATTTTGGGTCAAACTTCTGTTCTAAATGGAGTATTGATTCAATACTGAATCCTGTCATTATCAAAGTAAACAGTATAATCATTGTTCTTCCGGGAGTCGTAAATACAATATTTTTGTAAAACCCCGAAAATATCTTTTGGAATATTGAGTCTTCTTTTGAAATAGAAATTGATTTTGAATGTTTATAACAAAAGATTAAACCATTGCGATTAGATTCTACTCTCATAACATCTAAGGTAAACACGGCAACATAAAATGTAACAGAATAGCAAAAAATAAAAAAAACGCCAACAGCAGCATATATGCAAAATGATTTTAGTGATGGCAAAATTGTAATAGCTCCTATAAGTAGAGCGACTATGTCTGTGAATGATGTGATTACGATAGAAACTCCCGCATGCTCCAACATAAGTCCGATTCTAGTCGGAAGACTTTTTTGCGCTTCTTCTGGTGACAGATTTCTCCAACAAGCACTCATTACAAACATGTCATCCACACCAAGACCCATAAGAAGAAATGGTAATGATGAATGTACAGGTCCAAAAGGAATACCAATAATGGAACACCAACTAACGGCAGTCACGTAAGCCATCCCTACACATAATAACCCAACACTACCAAGAGTTAATCTTATTTCCAGCCAGTTACATCTCGATAATGCAAATTGTATATACAAAAACATAAGGATTATACCCATAAATAACTTATCTATATCGTGAAACATTGTTTCACCACTTATATCAGCAAAACTTCTACCGGCTTCATAAACAACATTTATCCCTGTAATATTTTGAGCTATAGTTTGCATAAGGTCTAAAAATTTTGCTTCCCACATAGCTAGTGGAACAGAAACCCAGTCTTCAGTACCAACTAGGTTACCTACTTCATTTATGTCAATAGACGACATGTTTACTTCAGTATACCAAGTCAACAAAATTGAATTGGCAGATACCACATTTCCACTTTCATCGTGTTTAGTGCCACCTAATAATTGAATATAATCTAAGGGGTGGCCTGTTACTGGATTGATTTTTACATTGTTTATTTTGTTTACAATATCATACTTCGTTAAATTTGCTATGGCAGTAGAATTATTATTCCACAAATCTAATATATTATTCTGAAGACAGCTCATTTGAAAACTATTGAGAAAACTACAGTAAAAATCATCTCCAATCCAAAAAGTTGGATCTGAATATTCATTATCGCTCTGGCTGTTTGTAATTGTTTTATTGTTGTTATTTTCATTCAATTGTTTACCAGATCTAACATTTTGGGTTATATTCATAAAATTTACAACAGGAACTTTATAGCACAGATCCTTTAAATAAAAATACGAATTATTATATTTAACCTTTATAGAGTTTACTTCATTTGTAATGTTGTCTAAAATCATTAAAACTTTCGGATCTAATATATCATCAGCTGTAATTATGATCCTTTGCAATCTGAACCCCGTGTTAAAATTATCTATATACCACTTTGTGTCGTAGTAGAAGTCCGAATCTGGCGGTACCCATAGTTTCATGGGATTTTTCTCTATATAAAATTGTAATAAACCAGCACTACTTAGAAGTATAAAAATCCATGTCACGATAACGGTAGTCCAAGGGCGCCGGGCGATTATTACTCCCAGGGAGAAAAATATTTTTTCGATGAAATGCACAAATGTAGAGGATATGCCTTCCCATATTCGCTGAGGGTACTTGAATACACTTGACACCGGCATTTATAATAAATATATTCACAACCACTTCAGAAAACTATTTAAATTACTTCTGTTATCACAGTATTAAAACAGTTGGCCCTTAACTGAACTCACTAAAATAATGATATATAATCAATGTATAAATGACACTTTCAACAGCATTTTGTGTTATATAAATAGCACAATAATGTCACATTATCAAACAATGTGCGCACTGTGTTAGTGTGAAATTCCAACAGTCGACCGATTCACTGTACATCTGTCTGACACTAAAAAACTATCAGAACAGAAACAGAATGGTGTGAACATTAATGAACGAATGAGTGGCTAATGAATGAAAGTATAAATGACGAGAGCGTAAAGAAAAGTGAACAAGAATTTTGTAACGCCTTAAGGTACGTTCAGACTACGCTTTAATAAAACTTTGTTTGACCGAGCGAGAATCTAATTATTCATGACCCATTCTCCTATTCATCATTAATATAAAATGACCTCTTAGTAATAAGGGCATTAATATTGTATCTCACTGTGGTCTTGGCCCTGTATTAGAGTAATTAGAATAACCTTAAGAAAATCAGTACTTAACTTAATCTGTGTGTACTTACTCTGTAATCTGTGCGTGCTACTGGCTGTTGTTTTTTGTAGGTTAGGAATGAAGTTTTGTTGATACTTGGTGTCTATTAATTTGTAATTTACACTTTTTTATTTAGTTATCCATTATGTGGACAACCAAAACTTTTCTGACAAAAACAAAACGTGGAAATATTTTGAAAGTAAGTTATAATAATTTGGCGATAGCTATTTTTGTTTGTTGTTTGGGTATGATTTGTTAACAAAACATAATTTTGTATTGAAGATTGATTGACGAAAAATAAGGAATATTATTATACAACAAACGTGATCTGAAATACCTGTCGATTAGGCACCGCATTTTACTTAAAAGTTTAGTTTACAATAATAAGGAAACTACAGTAAAATCTCAATTAGTATGTTGTCCGAAGTTCTCCGGTCTATTGAATATTCTGCTAATAATTGATACTATGAAAACAACAACAAATTTTTAAGTGTTGTATTAAGACAACGAATATCATTATTAAAGAAAACTTCTTTATTATAGAAGCACCTGTATGAGAAAATATAATGTCACCTTATTGATTTAGTTGAAGTTTAAAACCACATTTCTGATCAGTAAACCGTTTAGCATCATAATAATTTTATTTTAGATAGTCAGGGAACATTATCTTCGGGATGACCTACTTTGTGGATCGAGTGCTTGTAATATATGCCCTCACAAAGATGAAGAATATGTTTTAGACTCAAAACCAGACTCCGTTTGTGCACTATTCGACTATCCACACTACTTATTACTGGATACTAATGTAGTCCTTCATCAAATTGATGTCCTTGAAGAGGATGCTTTGAAAAATGTTATCATGCTACAAACGGTACTCGAGGAAGTCAAACATCAAAATACAGCAATTTTTCAAAGAATCCTTGAAGTCATTAATAATAAAAAAAGAAAATTTTATTCTTTTGTTAATGAACACCATAAGTGAGTATTTACTTGTATTTAAGAGTTCTCTGTTTGTAAGACAGACAATCACTAGAAATATTGATGTTAATTAATTCCATTTTAACTTTTAAGGTCTCATATTTTATATTCTCATAGATATCTCAAAATATTAATATCATTTAAGCCATGTTTTGTTTTACTCTGTTTTAAACCAAAGAAAGTCATAGCATTAACTTCATTAATTGAGGTATTTCAAAGTTTAGAAAGTCATAGAATTTGCTTAGATTTTCATCATACAAAACGTAAATGAATGATTCTTTAGAGACACATATGTGGAGCGTAATCCAGGTGAGAAGCAGAATGATAGAAATGATCGAGCTATAAGAAAAGCTGCTAGTTGGTATGCTTTACATCTGTCAGTCAATAATGTTGCTGGTCAATTTCCACAAATAGTTCTTTTGACAGATGATGAAAACAATAGGAAGATTGCTCAAGAAGAAGGGATTGTATGTTGCTCAGGTATCCCATAAGCTTTACATTTAATAAAGATAAAATATTTTATAAATAAATCTTAACTGTTACAAACTAAACTCATTTGTTTTATATTTTAACTTATCAAAGCTACTGAAATAAAGTCCTATGTACTAAGTGCAGCCACGAACAAACTTCATTTACCTACCCGTGCAACCTGCACAATATACTTGTAAAAAATCTTCATATATAACTTATTTATGTTTCAGTCAAAGATTATATAGAAAATGTGAATGGCTTTGTTGGCCTCATCGATAAACTATCAAAGAATGTTATACCAGAAACTTGTTCTAAAGATGCCTTGTATCCTGCCCATTTTACTCCTACCCAAATACATACAGGTATCAGGAATGGCAAACTTTACCAGGGCACATTCCATGCTTCAAGGGATAATTTCCTTGAAGGTACTGTTTCTGTTAATCGCTTTGAAAAACCTGTGAGTAGATTTTTTTATAGTTGTTAATACGTAAGTAGTTTTACAAATCATAAAAATTATAAATTAATGTATTCATATTTGTTTCTTAGGTTTTCACTCACACCACTCAGTAAAAAAAAACAACTTTCAACGGTTGAAATGGATGGATTGATTTACTTATTTATTGATGTTTGGCATCCTTTTCGGGATGCTTGATTTATTTTATTGACGTTTCGCATCCTTGCATCTATGTCTATCTATCTTTGTCTAATCCACTGCATCTATACCATTGAAACTTGATTTATTAAATGCATTCATTTCACAGATCCTTCTGCAGGGCCACATTGGTATTAATAGAGCTGTTGATGGAGATCTCGTAGCAATTGAGGTGTTTCCTGAAGAAGAATGGAGAAAGCCAAGTGATATAGTACTTGAAGATAAGGCTGATGATCCTGGTGATCTCTTAGAAGAAGAATCAGCGCTACTGAGTTCAGCTAAACCGCTAGACAGTAGCAAAGATGAAATAACACCTACTGGGAAAGTGGTAGGCATTATCAGAAGGAAATGGAGACAGTATTGTGGGATATTGATGCCAAGTAAATTTCCAGGTAACCAGTATAGCTTTTAATTAAGAATTATGAGATTGTTTCAGGCTAATAACAGTTTATTAGGATAGCAAGACTGTATGTAAGTAACTGTGTACGGGTGTAATGGAAACTTTCTTGGCTCCAAAAATTTTGATTTTGTGTTAATAGTTTTTTATTAACATAACCTATATTTAGTTTTAGCTGTCTGAAATTCAATATTTCTAAACAGAAGGATTATTTTATTGTTAGGTGCAACTCGTCACTTATTCACACCGGCTGAAAAGCGAATACCGCGCGTTCGTATAGAAACACGACAGAGCGACGTACTCGCCTCACAGAGGATTCTGGTCGCATTAGATTCCTGGCCTAGGAATAGCAGATACCCCCTGGGACACTTTGTTAGAGCCCTTGGACCCATTGGTAAGATGAAACTTGCAATCCTAGAGAATATTATCTTAATTTTGAAATGAAATGACATGAAATCCTATGAAACCTCACTCTGAAAATCCAACTGTGAAACACCTATACAAGCCCACCAAAATGATTTTTAATTCTTTATATGAAAATCTTTTGACAACTTATCTGATTTGGCTCAGGCAATGCGGTTGAATCGACTGATGCACTTACATTCTTACCAGTGATTTGTAATAACAGTACTATAAGGTCGAAAATGGAAACAATCTTTTTGCCACAGTTGATTTTTTGGTATCAAAAGATATTTTTCTATCATCCAGGTGACAAAGATGCTGAAAATGAAGTGATACTGTTAGAACATGATGTGCCTCATGCCAGATTTAGTGAGGCGGTGTTGGCTTGCTTACCACCCAATGATTGGACAATACCTGAAGAGGTATGACTTACTACTACATAATTTTCCTCTGCTTACATCACTAGTTGTAATTTATTATTATTATGTTTTGTGGATAAAATCAGTGGCAGTTTGAGCTAAGCAATTATGCAAAATGCATAAAAAAATATATATAAAAAAACGATTCTAGCAAAAATGATGAATTTTCATATATTTAATTATACAGTTACACTAACCCAATGGAAATTGCTAATTATCTTAGACAGAATATTGCTTTTCCTTATTCAGTGACGATAATTGCTTATGAGTTCTCCTGGTACTTCACTATCAGTTCCACTCTGTGTATTTTTAAAGGGTTATTCTTAATTGTTGAGTACTGTGCTCATACGTATTATGTATTATAATTTTAAACATTACACAGGAGACAAAGAAACGAGCAGATGTCCAATCCATAATATGAGGAGCTGGCGAACAAAACGGTATAATTACATAAAATTAAATATTACAGGAGCAGTAAAAAAATGAATGACATATCTACAGTGAGCTTTTGGCGTGATTTTTAATTTAGTAATTTTAACACTATTTTAGGTGGTTTTTATTGACATGAGTTGAAATTCAAATTCAGCTGGCCCAAAACCGCCGAGCTGAAAAAAAGAAAAGTAGTATATGGTCAAAACCATATGCGTAATTATACTGATTTATTCGCCAGCTCTTCATATATGTTCCTTGGACCCACCGGTTGTATCGACAAAGACGACGCGTTGCACGCTCGCCCAAAAGATGGTGTTAAATTAACTTAGCAGTATTTTTAATTGTTGATCACTGTCTTTATTTATTCATTTAATATTTTTGAATATAGGAGATAAAGAAACGCGTTGATCTCCGATCCATATGCATCTGCTCCGTGGACCCACCTGGTTGTACCGACATAGACGATGCATTGCACGCTCGGCCAATAGATGGCGTTACTGCTGACGGCTTGAAGAAGTATGAAGTGGGCGTCCATATTGCTGACGTCACGTATTTTGTGCGTCCGAACACTGCGCTGGATAAGGAAGCCGCTTCTAGGTCTACCACGGTTTATCTGGTCGATCGGAGGATTGATATGGTACCAGGTTAGTGTTTTAACTTCTCATATGCTAATGGTCATGCGCCGTTCTCACCGTCAACCGATGACGTCATCCGTCAACCCCCCGCTGGGTGGGAATGATTGCAATGTTTTGCCGATTTCTCTGTTACTTCGTAAGAATACCCTACACAAACTATATATATTTGGATTCTCCATAAAATTTACTATATAACAGTGTGTACACAATGCGTCATGTCTGTAATATATTTTAATTACGTAACGGTAAACTCGAGAAAGATAAAAAAAGACGTTTATATGGGTAAAATAGGGTATATTTTCAGTATTTGTAAGTTTTTAAGTCCAGGTTTTTTTGTTATTTGCACATTCTATTATAACTTACCAAATAAAATCATAAAAGACCATACTCCTACAATTTAATTTTACACTATACGTCTAACAATCCGCGCGCCAGATGCGTAAACAAACACTCAATAGAAAAAAAAGGTAAATTTAAAAAAACAAAAAACCCGACTGCTTAATTATTCTTCAAATAAAAACTGAAAAGAAAAAAACAAGTCCAGTAGTCTATAATTCTGTTAATAAGGAACAAAGCTACTTTAACAGTCGGGACCCATTAGATATTCAAGAATACATAATATTTTTCAACAGTGGATCCCGACTGTTAAAGTAGCTTTGTTCCTTATTAACAGAATTATAGACTACTGGACTTGTTTTTTTCTTTTCAGTTTTTATTTGAAGAATAATTAAGCAGTCGGGTTTTTTGATTTTTTAAATTTACCTTTTTTATTTCACACTTTTTAGTTAGTATTTTAAGACGGTATATACCGTAGTCTTGTTACTTCAGTAAGGGAATTAATATCGCGGAAATTATTAAGTACCTTGCGTCGGTCTAAAAGATTGATTTATTAAGACATATAAAGACTTTACCAGCGAGGTCAAGGCTACAGATGGGCCTCAATTTTCGCAAAAATGTGTGAAGTTAAATCAAGTCGTTACTATCATCGTCAATAAATATCTCTAATGTATGTAAATTTTATAGTAAACTAGCACCTACTCAAAAAGTCATCTTTTGTTTATGTTTTTTTAATAGTTTAGCAGTAACTATAAAATTCATTTACTTTTATTCGTCGACTATTTAAAATTGGCAGTGGCTGCATTGTCATGTCAATGCCCGACGTCTAAGATTGTGATATACACAAATTCAGTGTCAGTCCCTAGTCTCATAATTTGATATACCTACATAATTCACAGAAACCCAATATGTAGATGCCAGAAGTTAACTTCAAATGTTTTTAATCACCCTATATACAATACCAATCAATGACGTTTATGTCGCAGGTTGAAGAAAGAAGTAATTCCCGTCTGTTGTTTTGGACAATGGTGGTAACTGCCTTAGATCACTAAATTAAATAATTATGCAATCACCAAAGCAAAGTTTATAATATTTGATTAAACTAAAGGCGCATAATAAAATTTTCATAACGTTAGGTAGAGCACCATAGCAATCTCATTTATTATCAATTTATAGTTCTCTTTGTAGTTTTCTTTTAAAGCGTTCACATTTAACACTTTTTTATTGGTAGTGTAAAGCTCGAATGAAGAGTTCTCCCAGTAGTGCAATCATGGCAATTATTTTCCAATTTTTTTTTGTTATAAAAATACCGAATAACGTATCACTGTTAAGCACAAATGCTAAGTAACTTTTACAAATATAATCAAATAAACCTATTACTTACTTTATTTTTAAATCTTTTTCATCAATTAAATACTTATGTTATCCTAACTATCTATACTAATATTATAAAGAGGCAAGATTTGTATGTTTGTAACAAATAATCTGTCAAACTACTGAACCGGTTTCAAATATTAATTCATCATAAGGTAGCTACATTATTTATTATAAGATTTTTCTTTATTTAAATACATTTTGTCTGAGTGACATAGGCTATATTTTATCCCGATAAATAAATTTCGCCCGTACAATGCCCGGGTGGATCACTAGTAAGTATAATATAATATTATAGATGCGAAAGTGAGTTTGTTTGTTGCGCTTCCGTGCCCTAATAGCTAAATCGAATATAATGAATTCCCATATAGAAGTAGATGGGAACTTGGTTCTTAGCTACAACATCGCAATATTTATAGGCGTAGGGTGATGAAAGGGGTGATTTACCTATAAAAATCTACATTATTTACTTTGAATTTTGCAGAATTATTACAAAACCAATATTATCGCGAGCTGATTAATAAATACAGGGATTCCAATAAGTATGTACTTACTAGCGAAAAATGGGTTATTTGTCATTATATTAAGTAAACCTTTTTTGTAACCTTAAGTAATATCGTTAAAAAAATGAAAAACAGTAAAATTCTGAGTTTTTCATTAAAATTCAATAATCATAAATACCTATTATGATAATATATTTTTCATCATTTAATAAAAAGGAACTGTATCAAAGTTTTAATGTTAGTACTTCCTATAGGATCAGATACTGCGAAAACCCCATTTTTTTCTTTTACATAGTACACCGCGCTATCACTTTGTCATCGTTGTAACTTTTTAAATATTTGTCGAAATAACATAATGTAAAAAGCAAAGTTTATCGTCTTTAAACATCAAAAGCGATTAAAGTATTTGTTTTGATAAAAAATGATTTGTTAATACAAAATGTGCATTTTGGAAATAGATATCAAATAATATTTTGGTTTTGATTCACTATTTTAGCTTTAATGACTTACACATTAAAAATAGATATATGGTGTCACGGACTTTTTTTTAGAACTATTTAAGAGATACATTTTCACTCTACATTACATTCATGTAACTTTTATTGTTTTTGCAGTGCAGGCCAAAATGGCTCGCAGATGGGACATTTTTTTCCGTCTTATGAGACACTTATTGCTATATATTGGCCAATTCACTCAATAACTACATAAATTATTATATATATGCAGTTATCATATATGAGCTATATTACTGTTAAGTTTCATTAAAATCCATTCAGTATTTTTTAGGTGAAAGAGTAACAAAGATCCATACAAACGTAAGATTGAAATTAAAGCGTAAGTGGTTAATATACAACTTTAAAGCGTTGTAGATCCTAAACAATCATATAAAATGAAAAATGGTGTTAGGAACCTAAATATGATTTTTGATTATCTAGACAGTGATACCCCACTCGACATATTTTGTCAACTTCTTTTTTTACTTCGTCACAATATGGCGCCTAATTTTGCCCATATTGAATTTTGATTACTATCATATCTTTAGTAGCACTTCCATGATTGAGACGAATCGATTGATGTATGAATCATCAAAATCGGTCCAGGCGTTTGGTCTCTAGTGTGCCACAAAGGAACAAACATACATATATAGACTGTTAAACACATAACCCTGTCTGCGCGTCGCGCTTCGCGCTCTTGCATTGCGCAGCCGGGTAAAAACAGGTGTCGGGTTTCAAGCAGGCGATAAGAACTAATGAGCTCGGTAAGTGCCATGATTTATGGCTTAAGGGTTCCGTTGGATTGTTAATGTAACACTAATAAGAAGTGTCGGATGAATAGTCTTTGTTCATTTTATAGTTTCAAGAACTCACATTTGAAAATCGCTTACAAATCAGTTATCTCAATTTTATGTCGAGAAAACTAAAAGTATTTATCATTTTGATAAACAGTTTCTTTAATCAAAATGTACAGTAAATTTGCTTTAGAATAAATAAAAACTAATCACTAGTTCGTAGTAGAATATATACAAGAAAATAATATGAAAAAATATTTCTTTCGAATATTTGAATCTAGAACGACCGTTACACTGCGCGTCTTTTGTTTTTTTTTATTTCTTCAAAAATACGAACTCGAGAGATTCTCTGTATTCGAAATATTAATCATGAATAATTTATTCAATAATTATAACTTAAAACATTACAATTCTTATCGAAATTATCACCATGAAAATAGCCACGAACCCTTTTTTTTATTGTTTTTTTTACGAGATCTTGAACAAAATAATTCTGAAAAAAAAAACACTTAATCCCGCAAACGTAACATCAAAATAGAGTAACTTAATGTATTTAACTTACCCAGGCATGGTGTTTTTTTTCTTTAAAACCACTGAAAACATTTAAAATAGTCTGAATACACGGCATATTTCTTTTCATACAAAAAACGGCGAACGACGAACTTACACAGACAACAGTATAATATCTCATATGGCAGTTGACTTAATCAGTGGCTAGATAGCTAGCCTGTTCTTTCCTCTACAAATTGATATAAGAATGTAGGTGATAGCAAAAAGAATGAATGTTATATTTTCCATAGAATATGTGGGGTCGCGAGGGGCCGAAAGTCGGCCGCTTAGCATTTTAGAGGTAGAAAAAAATGTACTCAGTGATGTAAAAACCGATTTAAAAAAAAAAAACTAGCTGTCGCAGCGAACATTTTACCGCCATAAATAAATAGGGGATGATGGTACGAGGGTGAAAATTAAGGGTTATATGTATTTTTGTATCATAAAAAAACTAAAACAAAAAAAATTGTCAAAAAAAATTTAAGGGTGGACCACGCTTAACATTCAGGGGGATGAAAAATAGATGTTGTCCGATTCTCAGACCTACTGAATATGCATATAAAATTTTACGAAAATCGGTCGAGCCGTTTCGGAGTAGTTCAATGACACGAGAATTTTATATATGAAATAAATAATTAACTTAAAATTCAGTAATATAATAGTTAATAACTTCATACAAAATGAAATTACCAACAGTTGGGAGTCTTATGATTTAAACAAAGTCATTGTGATATCATTGAAATGTGGTTACCTATCTGTTTGATGCTCAGATTTGCTGAGTTCCAACTTGTGTTCGCTTCGAGGAGGAGAAGAGAGATTAGCATTTTCATGCGTCTGGGAAATTGACGAGAATGCAAATGTGCTGTCTACAAAGTTCCATAAAAGCGTTATAAAGGTAAGTGTTATTTAGCTTGCCGGGCCTATTCTTTTAGCTCGAAGTAGATCTAAATATTTCCATTAAATGAGGCTACCAACATGAAACACGAGTCTCTTCTAATTTATTTTAAATTAGAGGGGAGAGCCTGCGTCCTTTTCATTCTTTCAGAATGATTTCTGGAATTTTTCGAGACTCGAAAGTATCTCTATACCAAATTTCATCTAAACCAGTTCAGCTGTTTGAGCGTGAATAGTTAACAGACCGACCCAATTTTGCATTTATAAGTTTGGATTCTAAGTTTCTTTTTTTTTCTTCAGTCGGCAGCGGCGATGACTTATGAAGAAGCACAAATAACGATTGACAATAGTTCCCGAAAGGATGAGATAGCTAGATCGTTGCGTACTTTGAATGCGTTGGCTAAGAAACTTAAACAAAAGCGTTTGGACAACGGTGCCTTGTTACTTGCCTCGCCCGAAATACGTTTTCAGGTAAAATGTCTTCGGTGACAGTAATAGATGGTCCAATTTTGGCATATAAGTGCTTATTATAATACGTTTTATTTTAGTAATTTTTGTATAAATTATTCCCTTTATTACAAAGACTGAACTGCCTATTTTCGAAGTGTTATTTTTCATTTAATATCTCTTTAAGGTATGCAACAGTGCACTTACAATACAATCCATTGTGGAATTTTAAGATTAAAAAAGTGTAAGGTTTTTTGTCGGCTATTAAACAAAATTTTTGCATGTCGTATAAGCATGGGCATTTTAGAGGGTTTTCTATAATGCCGGTACTTGACGTAGCTATTCGTATTTGCTCTTTGTAAACTTACTTTAACAGTCTTTCCTTTTCACTCATTAAAGGGTATGAATAGGACAAGACGAGATAGCAAAGCTTTGCTGTCGATATAACAAAGATCAGATACGAATAGTTATGTGAAGTGCCAGCATTAAACACGTCACCAAAACTTTGTTTTTGGTCATTATTTCAACTTTAAAAGTTAAAATAAAAATATAATATACTACAGTTGTTATTTCTTCTTTCAAACGTTTAATATTTGTAAAGGTATTTCGTTTAACATTGTGGGTCACCTATATTGCTAAGAAATTGTGCTGCGGCACAGGCCTTCCCTATGGATGGAATAGTGAGATTGGGTCATGACCCACCACGCGGGCCCAGTGCGGATTGGAGGGTGCTAACGACTGCAGATGCAGCCGGGACCAACCGCTTAACGTGCCTTCCGAAGCACGGAGGAACTCGGGAATTTTTGGTCACCCATCTAATGACCGACCACTGCGAAAGTTGCTTAACTTCAACGATCGCAGCTGAACAACGCTAACCACCTGCGCAATCGAGCTCCTCACTTCACAATCTTACTTTATCACAGGTTGATTCCGAAACTCACGACCCTGTGGAGGTTCAAGCGAAGAAGATAATGGACACCAACTCCATGGTTGAAGAGTTCATGTTGCTAGCCAACGTTAGTGTGGCGGAGAAATTGGCAGAAGAATTCCCACAGTGTGCTCTATTACGTCGCCATCCATCACCACCGCCTGCTAACTTCACTACATTCCTTAAAGCAACCAGGCAACAGGTATAAATAATTGTAGGACTGTAGAACGCCGATTATCCGGATTAATTGGGACCGGGGTCGATTCAGATAATTGAAAATTCGGATAATCGGACATAAACTTTATTAAGTTTAACAAACAGTTCTTCAGTACTAGATGCATTAATAGAGGTACATAGTAGCCGTACATAGTAGTAGTGTCTTGCCACTAGCTTTCAACCATAACAGTTGAAATACATTTGGACTTCAGCAAGTTCCAACTTGTTATAACAAAAGATAACAAAAATGACTTGGTTTTAATTTTTTATATCACGCTTAGGACCGATTCGGATAATTGGCGATTCGGTTAATCGGCGTTCGGATAATCGGCGTTCTAATGTATATTGACGTTTAAAAAGAATTAAGACTCACAAACAATGTTTATTGTGCGTAATTTTCAAACAGTCGCGTTTCGATCGCGCTTTGATTACAACGCCAAGCAATGGCAAACTGTTAGGTTAAAAACTGCAAATATGTAACATCAGATCCACACTTAAAAACCTATATTAGAAGTAATATTTATCCAAATAACTTTTTCCATAGTAAATTTTCTTAGATTTGAAAATCAAGAGGATTAATGCTTGTAATATAAATACTTAATATTATACTTAATAGGGAATATGCCTGTAATTCAAATAGGCCTCATTTTATTTTTATGTAAACTCTATTACTTTTAAGTTGTGCCTTCATTAACATTTGTTCATACAATTTCTTTTCGAGCAAGAAATTAATGATATTGTAGTGCGAAAATTTTGTGGGAAATTTAAATATTTGAAACGCGACGAGAGCAGGCGCAGCTAAAAATATACCTAACAACAAACAAACATGATATTCACAGGATATGCCAATGTCAATGAGATTATAGTGCGAGTGCGTAGATATCAGGCCGCGTTCCACACCTAGACACCGAGTGCAACTTTTCACTATGACATTTAATTTATTTCCCAAAAATTTATGAAAGATAATGTCTATTTGATTAACGTAGGTTCCAACTACCATCCACAGTAAAGTATGGAACCATGGAGGTTAGAGATAAGGAGAACGATCGCTGTAGAAAATAGTGTCCCAGATATATGGACAAAATAAGTGAGGCGCTGCGTAACGATCTGTTATAACCTGCCTACCTAATGCCTACTACAGAAATGTTGCTGACTTAGGAAAACTATAATGAATAGTTATTTCCAATATTAAATTTGTGATCAGCAATATTTTTTGTATAAAAACCCGCGATTTCAATATTACAGTTAGTCTTGTTCTGATTTGTGGAATTGCTGCCCAACAACTGACCTGGTTTCTGCCTGCCGGTTGGCCTTCAGCAAGGAAACTCTGAGGAACTATTCAACGGCCTAGTAAACTAGCCCGTCGCGAATCGTTATCCTTAAAACTAAAAGGAAGTAGTAGTGAACAATAAAGTGATAGCAGTGTAATAACAAACATAAATATATAAATAAAGTGATTGTGAGCAAATAAAGTTTTTTTTAAATCAAACTAAGTGCTCCGTCTAATATTTGGTGTCAGAAGTGGGATTTACTCCCTGATGGTCGCCTACTCCTGACGACGACCAGAATTACTGCCGACGACATAAGCCCATCCCGTGGGTTTGCTTGAGCTGCCAGCCTGCCGCCCGACCGTCTCTCTGACATAGAGGTGTGTCAGCCACTCCAGCTTCAACCATCGACGATCATCATCACTACTGACTGACTTCGCGTTGATGTGCCGAGGGTTCTTTACCCAGCGCATCACACAGAAGAAGGCTTCGCACCACTCAGAAGAAGACTCCGCTTCAACCGTGCTAACACATAGCACGACTTCGTTTACGCATCGAGCATTTACTGCATAACTCCGGATAGCCGACGCTAAGCCGTCTGACCTACTTATCGCCGCACCGTGAAAAACGCTGTATCAACAAATGACCGCGATACTATTTCTGTGAGTGCATAATAATAACGTTATATTTTAATCAACTTATTATCTCTTAATTGGATTATTTTTTGTTCTAATCTTAATAAAAAGTGATCATGGCTAACGAAAAAGTAAAATTAGAACTATCTGGGTTGTCTAGCGTAACTGTACCGGGTGAAAAAGAAAACACATCTGTAAGTTTTCTTACAAAATTTATAAAGCCCTTCGATGGGGATAGAAATAAATTATCGTCATTTTTACGTAACTGTGACAATGCAAAAAACCTCGCGTCCAGCGCACAATGCGATATTCTCTTTAAATATATTTTATCGCAGTTAGAGGGGAAAGTCGAAACGGCTTGCTCACTGAAATTTTTTGACAGTTGGGTTGAACTAAAATCATTCCTTAAGACTACATTCGGGGAAATTAAACATAAAGATCACTTATTATTAGATTTACAGAGCTGCAAACAAAAACCTAACGAATCCATATCACAGTATAGCTTACGGTTAGAAACATATTTAACTAGGTTACAAACAGATATCACGCATTCTACCGTGGACCAGAGTGAACTGAAAGGGCGAATAGCAAATACTGAAGACCTAGCCTTACATACATTTTTATTAGGAGTACCTAGTAACATCTCCAACATATTAAGATGTAGGAACCCGTCTACCTTGGGTGAGGCAATAAATTGAGCCATTCAAGAAGAAAAGCTTTATAACCTTGTCCAATCTACAAAAACACTTGATATAAGACCTAGGTGCCGAACCTGTGGCCGCATAGGTCACATTGACAGAAACTGTCTATTAAATAGGCAGCGCCCAATTCACAACGTTTCTTTCGATAGACCTTCCACTTCGCAACAACCACCAACCAATATTTGTCGCTATTATAAACACCCTGGCCATGATATAAAAGACTGCCGTAAAAGACAATACAACAACTCACCGCAGAATCAGAATAGACAAATTCATAATATATCAGGAGAATATATTAACCATACTAATTATAACGACAAATTTTCACAACCTTTTAATAATAATTCTTACTATTCCGAGTCTTTAAACTAAGAAGAGTTCCGCCTGAGCGTCGTCATGCGGAACCATTGAACTATAACGACGCCATTTACCATGTCAATGATCAATCTATCATAAGTCCTCCTAAATCCAATAACTATAATAAATTTATCAATTTTACTAAGTCCACTGTATCCGCTAACTCCGCTGTATCTACTATTTCCAATGAACCTACTATCTCCATTGTACCTACTATTTCCACTGAATCTACTAATTCCGCTGTATCTACTAACTCCGCTGTATCTACTATTTCCAATGAACCTACCGTCTCCATTGTACCTACTATTTCCACTGAATCTACTAATTCCGCTGTATCTACTAACTCCGCTGTATCTGCCAATTCCAGCGAACCTATGTACTCCACTGTATCTACTAATTCCGCTGTATCTACCATTTCCGCTGAACCTACTATCTCCACTGTATCCACTTTCTCCACTGAATCAACCAATCCCGCCGTATCTACTAGCTCCACTGTATCTACCACTCCCAGTGTATCTACCAATTCCACTGTGCATACTACCATTTCTTCCGAACTTATTAAACCTTTTCAACTTAACACTAGCTACTTAGATACATTTACTAATTCCAATATTCCTTGTGAATCTACCGAACCCCCTAACTCTACTGAAATTTCTAAACCCACTGCATCTTGTAACTCTGGCCTACCCTGCATTTCTAGTAAACAAACTAATCCTGCTTAATCCCGTAAAAATCCTATATCCCGACATAGAAAATCGAATTCTACTACTGAATCTGTCAAAGCTTCTCGTCCTAAGCCAAAGAAAAACCAAAAACCTAAAAGACACACAGAAACCGAAGAACAATCCAATACTAACTCGCAACCATTATATATACACGAAATAAATTCCAATTCCAATACACATTTGCCTTATATATATATAAACTCTCAGTACTCTTCTAAACCCTTAATACTTCTGGTCGATTCTGGTTCCATTGTATCTTTACTTAAGAAATCTTCACTAGAAAAGCAACCTACCTTAATAAATTTAAAAAAATATTAAATTCAAAGGTATAGATAAAAATGCCGATCATTCTCTTAGTTTAGGTCATTTCCAATTAGATATTATTTTGTCAAATTCCGAAACCATATATGGAACTTTCCATCTAATTCCAGACTCAGTTGAGATTAATTTTGATGGTATAGTAGGAAACGATTTCCTTAGATTATATACCTCCAGCATTGATTACAAAAATGATTGCTTACTGATAAATAATAGTAAAGTAAAACTACATTTTACCAAACCTCATTATGTAATAAATACCAGCTCGTTCTGAAATGATAATAGAATGTGAAGCGTCTAATCCCGAAGTTTTATTAGGTTATGTAGATAAAAAGGAAATACAACAAGGTGTATACTTGTCTAATTGTCTTGTGTCTGTTAAAAGAAATAAACATATTAACGTCTCTATACTCAATACCACAGATGATAACATTACTATACACTCCCTCAATGTAGAATTACACCCTTGCCATATCTTAAACGAATCATTTCTAAATCCAGTATCAACTTCACAGATTAACACTGTTACTCCACCAAATAGGATATACAAAGTAAAAGAGCAAATTAGAACTTCCCATCTTAATGTCGAAGAATCCAAGGCATTCCTGGAACTATGTTCAGAATACTCAAATCTTTTCTATCTAGAAGGAGACCAACTAACATGTACCGATACTTTGACTCATGGGATCAAAACTACTAACTCCCAACCGATTCATGCCAAAACTTACAGGTACCTTGAGTGTCACAAACAGGAAGTCAATAGACAGATTCAAAAGATGTTAAAAGAAAACATTATTAAACCTTCAAATTCCCCGTGGTCTTCTCCTATCTGGGTTGTCACTAAAAAACAGGATGCCTCCGGTCAAAAGAAATGGCGTATAGTTGTCGACTACAGAAAATTGAATGATGTTACTATCGGAGACGCGTATCCAATACCTAATATTACAGAAATATTAGACCAATTAGGGCATAGTAAATACTTTAGTACTCTAGATCTTGCCTCTGGATTCCACCAGATTAAAATGCACGAAGGTGATGCATCTAAAACTGCTTTCTCTGTTCCCAACGGTCACTACGAGTACACTCGAATGCCGTTTGGCTTGAAAAATGCGCCAGCTACATTTCAGAGGTTAATGAATACGGTGCTATCTGGTCTTCAAGGCCTTCACTGCTTTATTTATCTTGATGACGTAATCATCTATTCCTATGATCTAACTTCCCATATTCAGAAACTCAAACTCGTCTTTGATGCTCTCAGAAAACATACCCTTAAGTTACAATCGGATAAATGTGAGTTCTTGAGAAACGAAGTTGCTTATCTTGGACATATTATCACTAATAAAGGTGTATCCCCCAATCCTGATAAAGTCAAAGCCGTGTCTTCTTATCCTATGCCTAGAAATCCCAAAGACATGAAATCCTTCCTAGGTTTAATAGGGTCCTATAGGAAATTCATTAAAGACTTCTCAAAGATAACTAAACCTTTAACATCCCTGTTACGTAAAGATACTGAATTTATCTGGACCGAAGAACAAAATTTAGCGTTTAACAATTTGAAACATATGATTACCAATGCCCCAATTCTACAATATCCCGATTTTTCTAAAGAATTTATTCTAACTACAGATGCATCCAATTATGCGCTTGGTGCCGTTTTATCTCAAGGCGAGATAGGTAAAGACCTTCCAATCGCTTACGCCTCCAGAACCTTGAATAAAGCTTAAGGTAACTATAGCACAATCGAAAAAGAATTGTTAGGCATTCGATTATGAAATAGTCTACAAATCAGGCAGAATGAACTCTAACGCCGACGCTCTATCCCGTCCCCCAATACACAATATTCATAACATTGACACGACTGATAACCTGACCTATGACTCTTTCCTAAAAACTCGATCTTCACCAACTAACTTTGATACTCAAATAGTAGAACATAACAAAAGCCTTTTAGATAGCCCATGTCAACTCATAATTTGTCCAACGTCTATTGATCTAGATCTTTCAAATCCTTACTGTGATACCATCCTCAACCTCCTAGAAGATAGACAGTTATTTGAATCTACTGAACGAGAACTTTATGAATTAAGTTCAGTTTTAAAAAATAATAAAACTTATTTCCTCTTGTTCTTCAAGATTCATCACTATGAATCCGCCTCGTATAAGGATATATTTGAATCAATCAAAAGACTTCGAAATAACCTTGTAATTTTCTTTAATGATAAACAAGAAATTTCTATATCAGATTTTAATAACCCTTATGACAGACTTCAATTTATGCTTATATACGAAATTATTGCTTTCCTTTTTCATAAAACAAAAATCAAGGTTAATATATATCACAATAACATAATTTATCCTACCCCTGTAGATATCCCAACCATTCTGAAGGACAATCATGATTCCCCTATTGGTGGTCATATTGGTGCTACTCGTTTATACAACAAATTAAAAGAATTGTATTATTGGAAAGGAATGAAATCAGATATCGAAACCTATACTAAAACTTGCCGTCAGTGTCAATAAAATAAGGCACTGAGAGCAACGAACAAAGCTCCAATAGAAATTACTTCCACATCTCGTGAACCTTTAGAAAGGATATCCACCGACATAGTTGGTCCACTTCCGAATTCTGGCCCAACAGAATATAGATATATTGTCACCTTCCAGGACGACCTTACAAAATACTCCATGGCATACCCTATTACACAAGCTACTGCCCAAGAAACAGCAGAAGCACTTATAACATTTATGAGCCATTTTGGCATTCCTAAAATTATTCTTTCAGATCAAGGTGTCCATTTCATAGCCGATGTTTACAATCAAGTAACCTTTCTATTTAAAATAAAACATCTGTTTTCATCTCCTTATCATCCACAAACAAATTGAGCTCTTGAACGTAGCCATGGTACTCTTAAAGAATACTTAAAATCTTACGTTAACGAAAACCAAAACGATTGGCACAAATATCTCCCTACGGCATTAATATCATACAACACTAGCATTCACTCATCTACTAACTTTTCCCCACACGAACTTTTATTCGGCTGTAAGCCACATATACCCAGCTCCATTTACGTCATTCACCCTAATGCAACCTATAATGACCTCATCAAAACATTGAAACTTAAACTAAATACTTCACGTAATATAGCACGAGAAAACATTCTTCGTAGTAAAGAAAAGGCTAAGCAATATTATGATAAAAGAACCAAAGCCGTAAACTATAACGTTGGAGACATGGTGTATGTAAAATATCACCACAGAAAAGCGCTATCACCAATCTGGAAAGGTCGCCAAATTATTAATTATTGGTCCCCTTTCAAATCACTCAAGTTCATAATAATAATAACGTCACGATTCTTATGAACCGCAAACAAATTAGATATCACTTTGACGAAATAAAATTGGCTCATGATAATTCTCTTCCAGGGCCATCGTGCCAGGACTCATCTCGGCAAACATAACAACGCCGATCGTGAACAGTCCCGGTGTATACTTCGACTCCCTAGGAATATTAAAATTCTATAATGATCATTGGAACATTCTTACCTATTTTGATTTTTCTTATATTAAACCACATATACATAATGTTAAACAAGCAATAGATACTTCTAAAGACATTTGTAACAAATATTCTTCTTTCGAAATGCATATTGATTGTGCTAATGTATTAAGTCCTCTAGAAAGTTTGTATGTCAACGTAAATAACAAGTTTATCTCATTATCTCATTTAACTTCCTTGGAGTCCCATCGTAAACAGAAAAGATCAGCATGGTTTGGTGTCGGAGGTCCTATCCTAAAACAGCTCTTTAGTTCCCTAGACGATGATGATGCAAAAACATTCACCGATGCTATAAACGCCGTTCAAGATGACCAAAGGCATTTAGCATCCCTAATGAAAGATAATATTCATATTATTTCTTCTACTATATCTACTTTTAATAATACTATACAAAAACTTAACGCTAACGAAATTACGTTGAATAACAATGTGGAAAAGTTGCATAAAATATTGGATACTGTTTCAAAAAATACTAATAAGATAGAAGTTAATACTCATCTTGCCATGACTTTCAGTGCAATAGAAAGTTCCTTGATTATCCTTAATTTTAGTTTAAAAGACCTGATAGATGCTATTCTTTTTGGGAAACAGAATGTAGTTCATCCTTCTGTTCTAAACCCCATTCTACTATATAAAGAACTAAGTTCAAATAACGATTTAGTAGCTCGTAACTTTCCGCTTCCTATAAGTTTAGATAATGCTCACATTCTCTTAGATTTAGCCGACATTTCTTCATTTCTTAGCGATAACAAGTTAATTTTTAATAATAAGAATACCTTTAACTTTATTAACTGACTATAAGCTCTATCACGTTTATGCTCTGCCTACACCCCATGATATACACAACCCTAATTCATTCGCCATGATTAATCCTACAACTAAATATTTAGCCTTAACAGAGGATAAGTTGACATACTCTTTATTAGACAACCTAAGTGAAATGCAAAGTGGTAAAAGACAATTACAATCTGTGTAAACTTAATAGTGTCCATTCCTCAGTGTCAAATCCAATCTGTGAAGTGACTATCTTATCGGAATACGTGAACCAAATACCCGCGACGTGTGATTATAAGGTGCTTGTAGGTAATATAGATGTTTGGCAAAAACTAACTAGTAATAGGTGGATTTATGTACTAAGTGATATTTCTAAGCTATCGGTTAATTGTAATAATATGATGACAGACTATGATGTAGTTGGAACAGGAATCCTTCAGTTGCAGAAAAGCTGCAAAGCTTATCATAAATTGCTACAGTTTATTGCTGCAAATGAATACCATTCTAGTATACATTTGCCATCTACTCATTTCAATATCATAGAGGATGATTGCTGTTCCAAAAAGACAATAAATAGCAGTATTCCATATCTGACACCTGTAAGGCTATCTCTCATATAAATCTAGATTCGTTGCAATACGCTTCTCATAAACTTAATCAAGCCACAGAAGAGCTTGACCGAATACAAACTCAGCCATATCATAGCAAATATGGAAACTACTTTAGTATAATTACCACAATAGCCTCTGTATGTATGTTTAGTTTCATATTTTATAAGTTATATAAATGTATTTGCTGTAGAAATAGACATAGGCGTAATCGTAGTAACTCTACAAGTACTAGTTGTTGTATAAAAATATTTAATTCATGTTATACTAAACCTAATAACAATACTTCAGTAACTCATTCAAGTTCTAATAATATACTTGATAGAACTGTATCCAACTTTGAAATGTCTAGCGTTAATTCTGATTCTAACTCTTCTATTAATTCACCTAAACGTAATTTAGACTTCCAATAAATGTGTAATAATTATATCTTAGATTATAAGTATTGTTTTTTCTCTTAAACTGCATAATTTTTCAATTTTATGTTTCCTTTAATTTTTATGCTACTTCGATTCTAAGGATGTAATTAAGTAACTGTATACAATATTGATGTTCTACTACTTTTTTCTTTTTTTTTTCTCTATCTTACTTTTTCTCTACTACTCACATCCCTCTCTCGGATGCTGCGTTTTAATGGGGGGAGGTGTTATAACCTGCCTACCTAATGCCTACTACAGAAATGTTGCTGACTTAGGAAAACTATAATGAATAATTATTTCCAATATTAAATTTGTGATCAGCAATGTTTTTTGTATAAAAACCCGCGATTTCAATATTACAGTTAGTCTTGTTCTGATTTGTGGAATTGCTGCCCAACAACGGACCTGGTTTCTGCCTGCCGGTTGGCCTTCAGCAAGGAAACTCTGAGGAACTATTCAACGGCCTAGTAAACTAGCCCGTCGCGAATCGTTGTCCTTAAAACTAAAAGGAAGTAGTAGTGAACAATAAAGTTATAGCAGTGTAATAACAAACATAAATATATAAATAAAGTGATTGTGAGCAAATAAAGTTTTTTTTTAAGTCAAACTAAATGCTCCGTCTAACAGATCGCAGTTGTCTCAATAAAAGCGGGCCAATTTGAAATGACCAATGCCGCGAAGAAAATTTGTACAATATTCAACTAACTTCATCTACTTGTACTCATAAACAGCTAACTTCACAGATACCTTACACGGAGTACACTTTGCGGCGCTCGTACGCCAAAACTATTGACTTTATGAAAAAAAAATGGATACATATCGCACCTCCGGTGCGACACTGTCACTTATGCAAAAACATTTTTTTTTTCAGGATGAGCGTAGAAAATAGTGTCCCTGACATATGGACAAAATAAGTGAGGCGCTGCGTAACGATCGCAGTTGTCTCAATAAAAGCGGGCCAATTTGAAATGATCAATGCCGCGAAGAAAATTTGTACAATATTCAACTAACTTCATCTACTTGTACTCATAAACAGCTAACTTCACAGATACCTTACACGGAGTACACTTTGCGGCGCTCGTACGCCAAAACTATTGACTTTATGAAAAAAAATATGGATACATATCGCACCTCCGGTGCGGCACTGTCACTTATGCAAAAACATTTTTTTTTCAGGATGAGCGTTTAAAACTTGGACATCCCAAAACATACAATATTTAAAGATTTTTACGTGATGAAAAGCTTATACTGCTTAGCTATTCATCTAAATAAAATTTAAAAAAAACTTTAAATATTGTATGTTTTGGGATGTTAAAGTTTTAAACGCTTCTCCTGAAAAAATGATTTTTTTGCATAAGTGACAGTGTCGCACCGGAGGTGCGATATATTGTAGGCAATTGTCTCTAGTTCCATTTTGTATTTAACTTTTCTTATCGTAAAATGGGTTGAAAAGGAGATATTGTCGAAAAACTGCTTTTAGGCGCCATTTTTCCAATATGGCTGTGCGAGCGGCAAAAATGCGAGGTGGCAAAGTCGGAATTCGGAAAGAGCACCTCAAATTTTATAAAATTACCAATATCAAAACTCCCGGTAAACTTTCCAGGTAACCACTATATTTCTCGTCAAATGACTGTACTAAAAGTCATGTGAATATATTTTGAAACAACTTTAATAAAGGAGGTGGTTCTCCATTCGGTTTTTTTATGACTATCATAAAAAAACCGTTTTATCGTCAGGGTTTCGAAATTCACGTATCAACCAACAAAACATTCTCCAACTAATAGAATTGTATTGTTTATGATGATAGCGTTTAGTCGTCAGGGTTTCGAAATCGACGTATCGACCAACAAATCGCTCTCTAACTTATAGTTTTTTTATGATTGCGTTTTGTCGTCATGGTTGCAAAATCGACGTATACACCAATAAATCATTCTCCAAATCGATGGATAAGTCTGAGTTGCCGGGCCGGCCGTTCTTCAACACGATGCTCCGCATTATGGCCCCGCGTTGTATGCAGCAAGTCGTGTTCTTTTCTAGCGGGATTCTTTGTCACTCGGGTGACATATTTAAAACAACGTTTTAAGTTTACTTTCAAAATTGTTTCAATGTAAATCTCTAAAGTCTGGGTTATTTAGTTTATGAGTCGAGGTACAAATGTAATTTAAATTGAGCAATTTGGTGAGGTAATAAAAAAAACAATTCCTCTTTCCGCAAAGCTATGCATTTTTTTTTAATAGACTTCAAAAAGAGAGGGGTTTCTCAATTCGGTTTGTTTTTAAAAGATAACGTTTTATCGTCAGTCGACGTATCCACCAACAAATCGTTGGATGAGTCTGTGTTGCCGGGCCGGCCGTTCTTCCATACGATGCTTCGCATTATGTACTTCTCTAGCGGGACTTTATCGTATCACGATGTCCATTTGAAGACATCCATCCTTGTCACTTGACATATTTAACACAACATTTTAATTGCGTGCATTTTAATTAACATAGCGTGTAATTATTTCTAGTTATATTTTCTTTAGATTTAAACATCAAGCAGTTACATGCTTAAAAAATTAAAATTATGACAACATTTTAAGTTTACTTTCACAATTTTTTTATGTAAATCTCTAAAGTCTTGGTTATTTTGATAATGAGTCGAGGTATGAGTCGCGGCACGAAACTCGCGCTGACCGTTATTGCGCAGAATTAAAAATTAAGATGTCTTGGGGGGAAACGAGGTGCTCGGACGGTTGTGCGTTGCGCCGATTGACTCTCCAGTCGTACCCATGCGCAGCTATCCCATCCGCGTTTTGTTCAGCGCTAGAGTTAAGTGCCGCGACCTATATCACGATAATAAAAAAAAAAGAAAATTGAGAGTGATTTCACTATTCTGCCAAAAAAATAGTTGATAATATTACTAAAATCATGAAATAAAAATATATATTTTGATCTATTGTTACGTAACCGAAATCTCCGATCTCCGAAGGATTGGTTAAACCTAAACTGACGTCTCCTGCTTGAAAACATGCTGTCGAAGTGACATTACTTTGTACTGTTTGACGGTTAAATGTGTGACGTCACCCGCCTGTAATACGTTGTATTTGAAATACGTCATATTTTCTCTATTTACCTTTATCTTTGTCACTTGACATATTTGAAACAACATTTTAAGTTAAAATTAGCGTTTTGCCGTTAGGGTTTCGAAATAGACGTGTCAACCAACAAATCGTTCTCTAAATCGTTGGAGAAGTCTGTGTTGCCGGGCCGGCCGTACTTCAACACGATGCTCCGCATTATGGCCCCGCGTTGTATGCAGCAAGCCGTGTACTTTTCTAGCGTGACTTTATCGCATCCCGATGTATATTTTAAGGATTCCATCTTTGTAACTCGGGTGACATATTTAAAACAACATTTTACTTTCAAAATTGTTTCAATGTAAATCTCTAAAGTCTGGGTTATTTTGTTTATGAGTCGAGGGACAAATGTAATTTAAATTGAGCAATTAGGTGAGGTATTAAAAAACAATTCCTCTTTCCGCAAAATATGCAAATAAGTTTTTTAATCGACTTCAAAAGAGGAGGATTTCTCAATTCGGTTTGTTTTTTAAAGATAGCGTTTTGTCGTCAGGGTTTCGAAATCGACGTTTCAACCAACAAATCGTTCTCCAAATCGTTGGACGAGGCTGTGTTGCCGGGTCGGCCGTTCTTCAACACGATGCTCCGCATTATGGCCACGCGTTGTATGCAGCAAGCGGTGTACTTCTCTAGCGGGACTTTATCGCATCCCGATTATTATCACTACGGACTCGCTTGTCCTATTTACACGCACTTCACGTCGCCTATACGACGGTAAGTGTAATTTTTGTTCTGTTTTAGTATTGAAAAAGTATTTTAATGAGTATTTTTTTATTTATTTATTTAAACTTTATTGCCAAATATAAGCAAACGGTGGAATTAATGCCATAGGCATTCTCTACTAGTCAACCAGTATGATTGTTGGAGACAAATAGTATGGCGATAGGGCAAAGCATACATTTAGTATAATCACATTAATATTATAAAGGGGAAAGTTTGTGAATGTGTGAGTGTGTATGTTTGTTACTTCTTGACAGAGTTAGCTGACACCCTGGATTAACACAGGCTACGTTTTACTGTGGGAAAATATCCCTAATAAACCGCGGGTAACACCGTGGGGCACAGCTAGTTAAATATAAATGCAAGTTGCATCACCCGCCCTTAATAAGTTTTTAGCAATTTAATCTATTAGCACTTATATAAGGTATTACTGTTGTTTATTTAATCAATATTATCTTTCCACTGACAAAACTGCTAATATGTTGATAATAATTGGCACTATTGGCATCTTTTTAAGTAGCTTCAGAGAGCTAAGAGAAAACCTTTAATACCACATGTCCTCTTTGTATTTGCTCTGTAGCTAAAGTGTTCCATTAAACTGGGCACACATGTACGGTTTCCTGAAGGTACGGTTTCTATTTTAATGAAAAACTAAATTTCGATTGAAATTTCGCACCTTCCTTTCTCTGTTTCTTTTTGATTTCCAAAATTATTTTGCCCGAAAATAGTTGGACAATTAAATTCTCCAAGTCTACTCTAATTCACAAAACGTTCGAACGAAAAGTTGAATTTGGCAGATAATTGTTCGAAATATCAACCTCAAATAGACGAAATGAAAAGTGTTACCTTTTGATTTTGGGATTTTTGTTTAAATTAAGCCTAAAATGACTGTTACAGTATTTTTAATTAAGGCTGCTTAACGTGAGGAACCGTTTCTAGCATGTAAATTTGACAAATAAAGCAAATTATTATTAATTATTGTATTTCCAATACTTCAAAGTATTTTAATACAAAATACGATTGTATCAGCTCTACAAATTAGACGGCTAACACTGTCAAAGAAGGTTCTTTTACTGTCATCAAAATTTTTATCTTAAATAATATTGTTTTCAAGTGAAAACCCTAATCTAAAAAGTGGAGATTAATAGAACTCACAATCATAACTCACTCCATTCGTTCACGAAACTTGTTTGTGATTCCGAACTTAATGTCAATGTTCGAAAATGAAATAGAGTCACTGGCGAAATTTTAATTCGTTCGTTGCTGTAGGAGATTGCTCAAATTGGCCCAAACGCACAAAAATATTGATATACACGGTAACTCTTGGCGTAATTTATAATTTAATTTACAGTCATTAGATTTCAACGGACACCTTTGTATAATATATTTACTTTTAAAAGGACTTTTAATTTTACCGGTTTGGAAAACATACAAATCATTTTTAATGGCTATGGGTGTAGTAACATTCAGCCAAAGACTGGTCGAAGTTGTTTATATAATATAAAAACAAATCTATTTTGTAAAGATCGATAAAATAAATCATTTTTTTATTACACTATGGTATTAATATCCACAACTATATTATCATTTTCACTACATGCAAATGTGCTCAGACAATTATTATAGATGGTAGGCGAGATCATAAAGTCTATAGCCATACATTTTTCGCCAAACACCTCCATAAACACATTATAATCTGTATATATTTTAGACTTAAAGGTATCTATCTATAGGCCTACGTCGCCTGACTATAAATTAATAAATAAATAAAATTATAAGGTGTGATACACTAAAAATCTAAAATATGTTTATATTAAAAACATAACAAAAATAATGAAGCTAATGTATATGTTACCGGCCAAACCCGATTTCAGGACAAACTAGTTTTGCCTAGGCTAAACTACTTCTTCCTATGCGCGATAGGATTAACTAGTATAGCCTAGTCCAAACTAATTTGTCCTAAGCCCGATAGGATAAACCAGTTTAGCCTAGGCCAAAGTAGTTGATCCTGATATAAATACGCATATTCTAGGATAAAGTAGTATGGCCTAGTCTAAACATTATAGTATATCTAGAAAGTTAAAATAAATAAATAAACTGAATACAAACTCCGTAATTGGAAAAATAATATTTTTTTAAAACGTTCATCGTTAAAAGTTATTGATAATTAGTAATACAAACAATTATACTATAACAAATAATATGTGTTTTTTTAATAGAAGCAATAATCATATCTCAATTATTAAAATTGTTATTTAATTTTACATGGTGTACTTTGGTGGCACTTAGAATGAGTATCATTGCCTTCTTGAATTGCAGAGTATCATTGCCATCATTGGCATCTGTTAGTGGAACATTTTTGTTGCAGCTGCATCTCACAAAACAAAAGGCCTATTACTTATGTGTGCGAGTGTACCCATGCGCATAAACACTCCCTCCACTTTCTTCCAGCGTTCTTTTTACATGACGCGACCTGTACAAGTCCTGACATGTTTGTTCAATTACTTTCGACTCTGCTAAATTGGTTTAGGGCCATAGGGACGTAGGCCGTACTAGTTTATCCTATAGTGTGAGTATTTATATCAGGATCAACTAGTTTGGCCTAGGCTAAACTGGTTTATCCTATCGGGCTTAGGACAAATTAGTTTGGACTAGGCTATACTAGTTAATCCTATCGCGTATAGGAAGATCTAGTTTAGCCTAGGCAAAACTAGTTTGTCCTGAAATCGGGTTTGGCCGGTAACATATATATGGCTATATAACCTAAATCTCTTAGCTTTCTTTGGTTAACGAGAGTTTAAAAATTCTCTGTAATCTGTGGCTCATTCACAATCATCACACAGTTTCTGTCACAGAGTACCTTATTTTAACCGGAAATGCATAGATGACACCTGATTTTATAAATTACTCTTAAGCGTTAACTTTAAAAACAGGCAACTATCTGTTAATCTACATGCTCTATATACCTGAATCTAATCCATAATTTCGGTACTTGACTTGATTTCTCTAGTTTACTATATAACTTATTTGTTTTTTATTATTTTAATATGTTCAGTGTATATGGTTTATAGAAGTTCTCAGGGTTGTCCGACACTAATATTCGTTTCTACAGTAATTTATATATAATTTCGAATCTAGGTAACTATGCATGGAAGCTGAGCAATCTCCTTTCGTTTCGGAGAGAGAAAGCAGAGCTCCAGGTTTGGTTTCCCTATCCGGAATTCCGTGAGCCTAGCACAGACGTTATGGTTGTTTTATTAGTTAAGAGACCGAAACGAACGTTAGGTTTTTTCCATTCTGAAAAAGAAAACTAAATAGTGTGCTCCTCGTTGAACTTTTTGTATGTGAGGATGTGCATTCAGGTTTACCAATAGGGATATTCCTGATCAGGAAACCGTTCATGTGCGCTAAGGCTGAAAGTATATTTTAATTATTACTTTATTTATTTGACGACCTCCGTGGCCGAGTGCTTTGTACGCCGGGTTTCATGGTGTCGCCGACTCGAGAGGTCCCGGGTTCAAGTCCCGGTGGGGGCAGATGTTTGGGTGATGAATACAAGCATTTGTACTTCAGTCATGGATGTTTAGTATATATTTCTATGTAAATTTACTTACATATGTATTAGTATATTTATTCTATCCGTTACCCTAGTAGCTCCATAACACAAGCCTTACAGTGCTTACTTTGGGACTAGGCTAGTTGGTGTGAGTGTTGGAAATATTATATTATATCTTCATGTGCGCTAAGTCTGAAAGTATACTTTAATTATTACCGTTGCCATAGTTACGCGGACGTGATTGTCCATCGCTTGCTAGCCGCTTGTATCGGCGAGGACGTAACTCACGCATCATTATTGGACACCAAACAAGCGGACTCCATCTGCGACAACCTCAACTACAGGCATAGGCAGGCGCAGTATGCGGGAAGGGCCTCTGTAGCCCTCAATACACACGTGAGTTCTACTAGTAGCTTTCTTCATCTAATATATAAAATTCTCGTGTCACGGTATGTGTAATTGAACTCCTCCGAAACGACTCGATAGATTTTCGTGAAATTTTATATGCATGTTCAGTAGGTCTGAGAATCGGATAACATCTATTTTTCATCCCCCTAAATGTTGTTATTTTTTTTTGGACATTTTTTTATGATACATCAGACAAAAATACATGCAACCCTAAATTTTCACCCTTCTACCACCCATATTTTTATGGCGATATGAATTTCGCTGGCTCGGCTAGTATTTACAAAATGCTTTTCCCTACCAATAAATTGATTGTAGACCTACTGAATCGCATCTCGTTACAGTAGGGTAGTCAAAGTAAAAATAGAGTTTTACTTAACGGAAAGTATAAACAACGGAAGTAGGGTAAGTTGAAGTAAAACCAGTTTGGAACCCCTAAAGCCGAATTTACATTACGAAATTACTGGCATAAAATTATTATTTATAATAATAATAAGAATAAATTGTCTTTATTGCACACAACACAGGACACAAGACATAAACAAATAAAACAGAAGAAAGAGTACAATAGGCGGCCTTATTGCTAAACAGCAATCTCTTCCAGGCAACCTATCCTATATCTAATTATGATTAGTTCCGTGAAATAATTTTATCAACAATTTCACGTATGACGTAAACGTCATGACGTTTATACGTGAAATTGTTGATGAAATTTAAGCTATGTATTATATATAAACATGTACTGTGTAAATTTTATATGAATAATCTTTGTACCTTAGATCCTCTTCAAGAATCGTATAGAAATAGAGTCAGCTGTGGTGTTATCAGTGAAGCGGAACGCATTGCAAGTACTGATTCCGAAGTATGGACTCGAAGGACCACTGTACTTGCCATCTGACAAATTCACTTACAACGAAGAGGTTGGTGTAACTTTTTATCAACGTTTTTGCATAATTGCGAACTTTGTATGCGTTTCCGGAAATCAGAAATCAATATATCTTTATTCAAATTGGATGTATAGTACAACTCTTTTGAATAACCCAAAAATGTTTGCCTACTGAAAACTACTGTTTTGAAAAATGTTAGCTGCGGGGGCAGCTAAAAAATATGTTCAACAACGAGTGGTAGGCAAACATTTTTGGATTATTCAAAAGAGTTGTACTCAGATCCATGGTTTTCTATTTATTTAATTAGTCAAACGTTTTTATTATATCTTTAAAATCAACATGTTTAAAATGAAAATTACTAGTACAAGGTTTCACGTTTTATCTTAAGATTGATTCGGCAGCAATGGGGGAACAGTTCAATGATTTAGTAATTGAAACTGGAATATCAGTAATAAAATTTTCGAATGCTGTTGCAACTTCAGTATCTGATATAAACTTTTTATTATCAATGTCTAAGTTATAATTACCAATTTAATTACCAAATTATGGATTTTCCAGTTTCATTGTTTATAATATTCCAGGTCATTTTGATTCTTTCATTACTGTTCTTAATCTTTGAAGTTTAATACAGGCAGTCCTCGTACTTACGACATGTTAGGTTCTCGATATACGCGACGTAAAGCGAAACGATTTAAGTCGAGTCATCCTCACGAACGCCGGCCCCATGGATATTGACCTCGCAACAAGTGAATTCTCCTATGCCGGAAATCGAAACAATTGACCGTATGCTTGAGGAATAGTGTCAAAGCATTGTTCAACCTAGGTTGAAAAGACGTAAATCGAAACGACGTAAGTCGAGGACTGCCTGTAATTTGATTTTGCTAAGCGGGATACTTTTTTAAACAATTTGGAATAGTTACAAACATGCTCACAAAAAAACATATAATAGCACTCAGTCCAAGTATCAGACAGCATTTGAACCTGCGCCTTTTATTGTCCAGGCAGACGTACTACGACGATTTTTTTCTTTAGATTTATAAATCTAGCAGTTTGATGCAAAAAATAACAATAATAACCATGAAATAGTTCAAAGGAGATTGCTCAGCTTCCATACATGTTTGGCCTAAAGACCAATAATCATGAAAAATTGTTTCATAGATTCGAAATTATAAATAAATTACTGTAGAAACGAATATTATTGACGGACACCCCTCAGAACTTCTATAAACCATATACACTGAACATATTAAAATAATAAAAAATAAATAAGTTATATAATAAACTAGGGAAATCAAGCCAAGTACCGAAATTATGGATTAGATTCAGGTATATAGAACATTTAGATTAACAGATAGTTGCCTGTTTTTAAAGTTAATGCATAAGAGTAACTTTTAAAATCAGGTGTCATTTCCGGTTATAATAAGGTAGGTACTCTGTGACAGAAACTGTGTGATGATTGTGAATGAGCCACAGATTAGAGAGAATTTTTAAACTCTCGTTAACCAAAGAAAGCTAAGAGATTTAGGTTCTATAGCCATATATTCAGTAGCTTCATTACTTTTGTTATGTTTTTAAGATAACCATATTTTAGATTTTTAGTGTATCACACCTTATAATTTTATTTATTTATTAATTTATAGTCAGGGAACGTAGGCCCATAGATAGATACCTTAAAGTCTAACATATATACAGATTATAATGTATTTATGGAGGTGTTTGGCCAAAAATGTATGGCAATAGACTTTATGATGTCGCCTACCATCTATAATAATTGTCTGAGCACATTTGCATCTAGTGAAAATGATAATATAGCTGTGGATATGAATAGCACAGTGTAATAAAAAAAATGATTTATTTTATCGATCTTTACAAGATAGATTTGTTTTTATGCTATATAAACAACTTCGATGAGTCTTTGGCTGAATGTTACTACACCCATAGCCATTAAAAATGATTCGTATGTTTTCCAAACCGGTAAAATTAAAAGTCCTTTTTAAAGTAAATATATTATACAAAGGTGTCCGTTGAAATCTAATGACTGTAAATCTAATTATAAATTACGCCAAGAATTACCGTGTATGTCAATATTTTTTGTGCATTTAAGGCCAATTTGAGCAATCTCCTTTAAATTAAACTTCGTTAAAATCCAAACCTTTTCAATAATAAATCGTACTGAGTTTATTAATCCAATTGGTTTTTAAACAATTAAATTAGATTCACAGCAAATTATTTGACATGTTCATTTTTTTATTAAAAAAATATAATATGTTTTTATATATATGTACCTACATATATATATATTTTTTACAGGAACATTATCAGATATGCAGCGATGTCACCCTGAAAACTTTTGATGAGTTGACAGTTCGTTTAACCCTAGACAGCACCAATCTACAGCACCGCAAGTTAGTTTTCCAGCTCGTCAAACCACACGTACCTGGATTCAGTTATGTACCGGAGGACAGTGGAATGGAAGTAGAATCAGTAGCATCGGCCGAAGAGGTGAAAGAGACACCCATAAAGAAGAGAAAAGAGACAAAACAAAGTAAACCTAAGAAGAAGTCTAAAAATCAATAAATAGATACATTTTTAGTTACACATTTGTTTTAATTCTGGACTGTCCCTAGTTATAATTGTGATTAATAGGTATTTTCTGTTGCTGTTGGAGCTGAAAACAACATATATTATTTTCTTTCGTAAATCAGTTGTCTAACATTGTAAAAATAAATAGAGTTTAATTTATGGCAACTTTGATTAAAATATGCTTGTTTAATCTCATATCCGCCGCTCCCAAGTTTAATTCCGGTGGGATTAATTTTCAGACGAATTTTTACATATTGTTTGGGTTTAATACCTTGCTGTTTCTAATATTCCGGAGGACCAGTCTTACCTACCGTTCATTTGAAGGAACATACGAATATGTAAAGGTATACAATATAAAAAAGGCAGACACAACCCAAAACAATAAAAAAATTAAGAAATTAAAAATTTGGTATGCTGCACTAGCTATCTTTGCGTTTGATCACCACCGCTACTTTAAATCATGTGAGTGTCGCATCTAATCAGACCAATATAAATTAAAAAGAAAAGGATTTTGCTTGCAGTCTTCATTCTTTTAGGTAAAAACAGGTGAAAATGAAATATAAAAAACTTTATTTAATTTACTATTAGTTGAATACACAATGGTGCCAATTCTGGCGTGATTCTCTAAACTTAAATCTAAAAACATCAGTCTCTCCTTTTCATGCTGTATAGAGAATAACAAGGATACACTGTTGTCAAATTTAAGTTTAGGTTTAGAGAATCATGTCAGAATTGATACCATTATGACTAATTAGTCATTTACGAACAATGATTCATTTCAGCTGACACTCAGCCTACTAGATCATCCATCACTTATTTTACAACTTTGGTATTTATACATGTGACGTGCTATATACAGAAGAAAGTCACCAAAAAGTAAAAACATTATTATAACTAGTAATGTTGTTATGACACCATGAAATTGGTGTCGATTCTGGCATGATTCTCTAAGCCTAAACTTAAATTTGACAACAGTGATGTCGATTCTGGCATGATTCTCTAAAGCTAAACTTAAAATTGACAACAGTGCATCCCTGTCATTCTCTACACAGAATGAAAAGGAGAGACTGATGTTAAATTTAGTTTTAAGTTTAGAGAATCACGCCAGAATCGATACCAGTGTATCCTTGTCATTCTCTTTACAGAATGAAAAGAAGAGACTGAAGTATTTATGTTAAATTTAGTTTTAAGTTAAGAGAATCGTACCAGAGTCGACGTCATTACCTAAATGGCACTGTCCAATACATAAAATTATGATGCCGGCACTTCACTTGGCTATTCGTATGTGCTATTTATAAACTTGACGACAGTCTGACTTTATCATGCTTTATTTGTAAGGAATGAAAAGGACAGACTGATGGCCTGTTTACAAATAGCAAACACGAAAACCCAAGTGAAGTGCCAGCATGAGTTAAAATCTTAGATTAAAACAAAAAGGGAAGATACGGTACGCTCATACTAGCATCAAATAAAATATGATCCGACTCAACTTCATAAGCAACGCACACACGCACACGTCTGTAAATAACATTCAATCGAGCTAGCGAGACAGAACTGTACGTTTCAACGCAGAGCGAGCGAACGGCGAATCAGCTTACGAGTGCGAACGGCTGAGTTGTATTGTTGTCCTTTTCTTGATAACTAAATGGCTATTACGTAAATAACATTCACGACAAACCGTGATTTTTGAGAAAAAAAATATTTTACAGTTTTACGAATGAGAAGTGTTGCCGAGGCATTTATTATTTAATTTTGAACTATTTGTGTTCTTTATAAAAGCATCGATTTATGACACAGAATATACGCAATATTGTTATATTGAGTGTACATGCAAACGTGTTTGAATATCCATTTGTAACTACAGCAAATTGTGATCGTACACCACAATTTAAGCGGATCACTTTTCCGTATCGCCGTATCTTCTCTTTTTGTTTTAATCTAAAGTTAAAATGGCTAGTTTAAAATTCTTACAAAATGATGTCTCAACAAAGTTGTCAACATTAATCAACAATAGGTAGGAATCTATATAAGGTATACGTATATATCGAAGATACAACACAACATAGAACTCCACAAGAATAATGAAGAAATTTAAAGTTTAAAGCATTTCGCTAAACAAGATTACAACAAGTGTTGCTCAAAGTCTGTCTTGGTCTTGTTATTGTTCTTGCATTAACACAAGATCGCCAAATAGTAGCAAGATTAAAATCATGGCTAATGGCTAATAATAAAATAACTCCCACTATTAAATTTCAAGCCATGTGTTATTTTATTATATTTTTAACCGACTTCAAAAAGGAGGATGTTCTCAATTCGTCAGTATATTTTTAAATATCAAAGAAAATATAAGTTAATTGAAATCTCTGAGTACGACCGACAATCTTCATGATTTATCGAAGAACAAAACTGAGTATAGAAGACTCGCGTCTTGCATTTCAGTGTCGCATCTACGCCAAAATAATATTCGGGCACTTTAAAGGATTTGGTTTCATTACCGATATTGATTGAGAGATGTTACCAGTGTCGGTATCAAAACTACGATTTCTTACATCACATCAAATAATATAGTAGGTATCGTCCTATTTTAAGAAAAGCCCCATTATTAACACTTTTCTAAGATCTGAACCAGTGGTGGTCGAACTTCTCCCAAAAGGGTCTGGAAAAATAAACGGATATTGGTAACTCATATGTATATTTGTAAAATATTTATGTTTTCCGACGAGGCTGTAAAAAATAATTCCGAACACCAGAATCTACACCTAGTTTGTTTTCTGAACAAATGGATTTAAAAACTTTACGCAGGATGGACTGGTCTACTTAGTCCACCACTGATCTAAACTAACGTGTTAACTAGTTATCAGAACGCTATTATATTACCTATAATTTTGCGGTTTACAAGACTTACTGCAAGAACAGCAGTGCTATGCTATAAGAACAACTTTTTACCGCGGAATTCGCCGGTGTGATTAGAAAATTTGAAATTCGCGTTCTAATTGAAAATAATACCGCAGATTCCGAGGTAAAAGTGAGTTTGTTTTTACCGAATAGCACTACAGAGCAAGACCAAGACTGAGAGCGCAGTGACAAGATCAATAAATGATTCAAGCCTTGACTTGACTTATAGGTCCCGGAGACGATCAATTCGGCTTGTCAAGTCTTACTTACGTTATTGACGTTTTCACAATATGATGAGCGACTTGGCGCTTGTTGTTTGGGTGCACCCCTTAAATATTTATTTAGTTTATGAGATACAGCCTGGTGACAGACATACAGACAATGAAGTCTTAGTAATAGAGTCCCATTTTCTAATTCATGAGATACAACCTGATGACACACAGGCAGACAATGGAGTCTTAGTAATAGGGTCCCATTTTTACCCTTTGGGTACGGAACCCTAAAAATGATTTCCAACTCAGATAATGCCAGATCTGCCATAATTGTAGGGGAATCAATGTTTATTTATAACTATATTGATAGTGGGACAAAATCACGCTCGGTAATAATGTGTGCGCTTTTCGCCATCGTCACGTTTTGGTCCTCCATCTTCAATGTTGCGGCCGCAAATGAGAAACACTTGTCGAGAAACACACATCAAGTCGCGTCAAGTGCAAGCCCATCAAGTACCGTCAATCAAAATAATTGTGATCAAGCCCATAGTACGCTTATTACGCTTACGGTAGCGTCAAGTCAACGCGGTAAACGATCAATATTCACTTTAATCACGTAGACTCGATAAGTCGACTTGATTGTCTCCGGGACCTATTACATACATAAATTATCGCTAACTATATTTTAAAGCTCCCAGACGGATAAATGTTGCTTGCGCTGAGTATAAAGATGTGGTATTTCTATAAATCCATTAAAATTGATGAAGCCATCGCTTGGACAAGCAACAAAGTTATATGTATAACTATATGCATTAAGATATGTAATTTCCTATATCTTTTATATCCTTTATTGTCCGTAGTACAGTTGGGATAGTCCCGTTATTATACATACCTACTAGCTTTATAGCTATTTGCTTAAGGGGCATAATGTGTAAATGTACACGTATGTCCATTCGAAACATTTGAAAATAATAAGATAATCCGACCTGCATAGCTCTTAGGGATGACGTTCACTTATTATGTGTGATACGTCGTCTCATTGGTGGCGGGCTGACGAGCTCGGTGGTTGGAGGTCGGAGTGAAGCCGAGGATTCTGATCTAGAAGGGAGTTCGTAAGAGACTGTTGTTTCTGACTCGTGCGGTGTGATGATTTGAGGGATGTTCTGGACTTGCGCTTGGGCAGCTATGCGGGCGATCTCCTGGTCGACTTTGGCGACGAGTTGGTCGATGACGGCGGGCCAGCGGGCGGCGGGCACCGTGTGTAGAGGCTGGAGGCGCGCGTCTGTCATAACGGCCAGTCGAACCGAGCCCGCGTATTGGATCACAGTCAGTGACATACCTGTGAACATTACTTTAGGTTTTTACTCGTATTTGTAGACAATGGCTTAGAGCTTAGGCCCTAGTTTAGATCCAACAATGTCTATTGTTGCGTGGTTGAGGTGAAAATGGAAGTGATATTCGTCTAACTCTTAATAAAACTAAAGTCTCGTATAGGAGACTGCGTATCGTCTTGAGAGTACGTTGAGTTTGAGGCACACGGGTAAGATTACGCGTTATAGCTGTGAATGATGGCTAACAATGTACATGAAAGAACTCACTGATATTATCGCCTGCGACGCGTTTGCGGGCGCGTTTATATCAGGATATGAGACTGCGTATCGTCTCGATAGTGCATTGAACGTTACTCTCGCGAGAGAGGGTGGCAGCGCGCCTGTTACTTCAAGCCGCGTAATAACAATAGAACTCACTGATATTGACCTGCGGCGGTCTCCAGTAGAGAACGCTGGCGACCGCCTGTCTCCACCGCGTAGTGCGCGGGGCAGCGTCTGCGGGTACGTTGATCTCAACATATAGGACTGCGTATCATCTTGATAAAGCATTGAGAGCGAGTCACGT